CAATAGAGAGAAGGGTTCGCCATTGGAAGTGTTCATGTGTGTAGCATTAGGTTTTGATTTCGAGCTCACTTTACACACTTTGATTTCAATTACAAAGTTGCTCGAGTGGAACTATAATATGGGAATCGCTCAAGGGGACTCCCCCGCACAAGCAGAACATTCCAGCTGCAAGTTTTATGCATTCTCCCGAAGGGTGGGTGATGTTAGAGGAATTACATTAACCCAAGGACCTGAATGGGTTGGTGGTTCAAGAAAACCTTGACTCAAGTTGCCAGTTACACAAGCCACAAGTTGCATGTTAGCAGCGCGTAAATTTTTTCCTGTTATTGCACAGACAGACAACCGAATGGGAAACTTTCACGTGCGGACAACAAATGGTTTGAGTTAAATTTTTAATTTACTTTCCTCAAGCATTGTGCGGCGGAAGTGTTTAAAATTGTAAAGGCCGGACACGCCTCACCCACTTCGAGGAAGCTACTTAGATGCAAATGATAGGCACAAATGGCTTGAGTATAGGGTCTATAAGGTATGGCTTAAGGGATGTTATTTAACCAACAATTTAGTAATTATAAATTTAATATATATTTAAAAGGTCGCTTTTAAATATTTTAATGCTAAGTGTTACCTATTAATAAATTCATAAAAAATAACACCTTTCAATATAGAATTTCATAAAGATGACGTTGAAAAACAGAAGACTCTTAAGCCGGAGTACTCAATATAATCAAAACCAAATCGCCTCTTTACTGTTTCAGGCTTGTTCGTATTATAAACCCATAGAAAAAATGTGAAAAAAAAACACAAAACTCTGAAGGACCATCTCAGACATAAGCGCTCTTGGAGCTTACGCCTTTGGTTCGAAAAACTAACCACAACCAAGGGGTATAAAGCACATTACACAGACACCAAACTAAGGCAGCAGGACACAAGCCGGCAGACTGGCATTTCGGCTGTCTGCCGACTCCAAAGCCACTCCAGTTTTGGCCACATAAAGTGTCATTACCTCGAGTGGCCAAGGAAGGTTGCTATGGTCTGGAAACCAACATTCGACTGGCAGATTCTTTTAGCAGATTACTGCCAACCAGCCAGCCATCCAGCCAGCTAGCTAAGCAAATAAATGCTTCAGCATAAAAATATGAAATTATTTACTTCCTAAAAAATGGATGGGCAACAGAAAGTTGAGAAAACAATAATTGCAAAGGCGAAAATTGGAGACTCTTACTTTTATTTTTGAAGGTATTAATGGAAAGAAAGAAAACCTTAATGGTTCTGGTTGCTCAGAAAGCTGAAAACAAATATTACATGCGATATTGGATTAAAAAAAACAAATTAAAAAATTAAAAATTGTGTTTTGCTCATTAAAAAATGGTTTTAATTAAATTGAAATCGAGGCTCAAATACGTGAGACATTACACAAAGATAGTTTTGCTTCCACCAGGAAATATCTTTAAAAAGAGATTTCCAATTATTCGTTTTAAGAAAAAGAATCAGAGAATAAGTTGTATAATTTAAAAAAAAAATTAACAGCCAATAGTAAAATAAATACATATGTTTTTTTACAAAAAAACCACAAAGAAATAATAGTAAACGAGTAGGATGTTTTGTTCATGTAAGCTGCATTTTTGCAGGTATGTATTTGTTATCTTACTGATTAATAGTTTATAGTTTCAATATTATAATTTTTCTAATAATACACTATTTGAATTATTTATAAGTTATATTAATGTAATACAATATATTATAGATTAATTCGCTGATAAACTCAATTCTAACATGACAAACCAACTTCATACTTCAGAAATACCCCTTCACTACTATAACTTCCTGTGTAGTGCAGTAAAAGTTTGGAAAATCTTTCATAAATGCTGATTAACTTGCTTTCTGCTAACGCTGCAGTTGCTTTTTACCAACTGCTGTTGTTTTATTGATGTTGTTGTTATATCTATTTGGACAGGAAACTGCCATTGGCTTTGTGGCCGGATTTTAATATTGGCACTAAGTAGCTATCAGGACATCGCCGGACCATTCAAAATGAAGTGGCAAACTTGTTTATTATTGTTATTATGACTCTGTCTCTCCTTTTATCAGCGCCTGGGCTTTCTTTGCGCCAAGTTCTCTGTTGCGAGTAGTTCTACTTTCGAGTTTTTCGAGTGCGCCTGGCTCTTGGACAATGTTGAATGGTATTTTCTTTTAATTAAAAAGCAAATTCAAACCGTCTCTGTCATTAGGCTGATTGAAAACCGGAGATATATATGTATTTGGGTGCCTGACTGAGTTGAGGTGGCGGCCGCTCCAAGTAAGCAATTTTCGCAACCGGCAAATAACAAATAACTGCATACCGTGTCGATTTTTAAGTGCTTCTCCTGAATTGCTCGAGGTAGCGCAAAATAAAAAACGGAAAGGCGGAAAACAAACTCGAAAACTGAAAACTCCAACTGCCAGTTGAAGGCGCCCTCTTGGTCGCGACCCCTGGCCTGAGTTCAAATAAGCACTTGAGCCATGAAATGTGGAAAATATCCAGCCGCATAATGACCACGCTCTCGGCTCCCAGTTCCAAGCTCCCAGCTCCCAGCTCCTGGCTACCGTGTCCCGTGTCCCGTGTCCCGCATGCATATTTGCATGGGGTTTCGTTGGGGCTTTGTATCATCTGTGGGCGAGGTGGCCGCCTAATGACTTTGAAACGAATGCAGCAAAGTCAGAAGCATGCACTTTGCGGGCATTACATCCAGGCTAATAACAGACGCGAGCATAATGGTGAGCTGCAACGCAATATGCGTGACGAGAGGAGGGATCCTGATTCACAGGAGTTAACTTACTTAACCCTATCGCACTTTCGTCTGGCATTACTTTATATTAGCTAACCAAGCGGAGTAACACTTCTTTTTTACACTTGAAATCTCTTAAGTTATTATTCATATATAAATTCATATATTTAAAGGGAAACGTAAAAAACAAAGGGTTACTTCTACTTTATTAGTTATTTAAATTTGATTTGGAAGATTTGTACTCCCTTCAAAAGGAGTCTAAAAGTATAAAAATTAAAGGTTTAGGCTACCAATTTGAATATAAATTATTTTAATGAAACGAATACATATTTTTTTGTGAGAAGAAAACGAAAAATTAGGCAATTTTTTGTTACTACTGTAGCAAAACCTACAGTAACCAGTAACCAAATATAAAAAAATGAGAAATCCGAAGAATCCGAATCGAAAAGTAAATCGAAAAAAAACCAATATAAATAAAGAAAGCCTTTAAGAGAATATCCAGCTCAAGAGTCCTTCTCACAGGCTGATTCGTTCAGAAGTCATTTTGTATTTCCCACCACACTTTCCGTAGCCTACTTATCGGCGTCTTTACTGCGCGTTTCGCATACTTATTTATTATTTAAAGGAAACAGCCTATCGCATGTCCTCGTAAGCGTATATTTTTTTCGCGTTCGTATTATGTCTTCGGCTCTTTTTCCCTCTCTCTCCTGTCTTAGTAGGCAAATTGTCGAACTTCCTGTGGGGACTTTTATAATTTGACAATTGCGCCTATTGCGTATTTGGTTGTATTTCTAGGGAAGCTTTCCATTTGACTTCGATTTCTTTGAATAATGGTAGGGGGTATTGGATTCATTATACAAATTTTACTTTAACAATATTTTAAAGTTTTTTAAATTTAACAAAAATAATGTAAGAAAACACAAGTATTTAAATTATTTTTAGGCAATAAGACACTTTTTCATCATATTTAAAAACTTTTGTAAAGCTATTAGAAAGTCATATCCATATTATGGCTATAACTGGAAAGTTAAATTAAAATAGCTCCACATTCTGATGAAATGAACTAAAATAATAAAAAAAAAACAATGTACATAAATATTTTAGTAAATGTCGTCATCATCATACAACAGAATAAATGTTTCTTGCCATTTTTCGTTCATTGGATTTAATGTAATAATAAATTATTAATTATTAATGTAATAATAAATTATTAAATTAATTATATATAATTAGAGGTATCACGAATTTGTTCATACATAAAAGAAATTTATTATTGAAATTTATTAAATAATTTTTCTTAAGTCTTTATTTTTTATAGAAAATCGCTGCATAGCAACATTAGTTTGGATTAACTCACCACAGCTTTCATTTAGCTGAAAAAAATCCCTTTCAACCGAGCTCTGCCAACTGAGAATACTGCCAAGGAGCAACACATTTGGGTGTAAATATTACACTTTTAACCTTAACTTTAAACTTACAATTTAATTTAATAAATAATAAATTAAATAGTCACTTAGACGTGGTTCTTTGTTGGCCAAAACTTTAGCATGCATCGACTGCAAGCCTCTATGGTAATGCAAAGCATGGCATTAATTGTTATGCAGAAATTAATTTGAATTTTGGCCTGTATGTAATCATGTATCAGGCTTAATTGAATTGTAAATATTTTGCTTTTAATGAAAACAAAATTGAAAGGGGGAAATTTATGGAATATCAGCTTTATTAAGCTTCAAAACTACAATGTTAACTCTGAAATTAGATTAAAGTTTTTAAAGTGAAATGAATTAAAGATATAGCATAAAATCAAGATTCGATTGGCATTGATCTTGAGATTATTTTTCTATTTATTTCTTATACATAAGTCAGTGCCATCTTCAGAGAACACATTCCGTCTAAGATTATGTATAAGCAAATCAAATTTAATTTGAGCCCAAGCTCTTCCAAGAAACATAAAAAAAACAACAAAAGCAAAAAACATAAAATATATTTCATTCTTTACTATTTTGGTTTATGGGTTTCTTTTGTGCCCTTATAGATGATTAATAAACGTATATACAGACGAAGGGAATGATTGTTTTTAATTATAACTCTACGTCAAATTTAATTATCAGGCTTTGCCTTAAGTTCCAAATAATTTTTATTCCATTTTTATTCTATAAAAGAAGTCAAGTATTTCCTAGAAAAAGAAATCAATAAAATTAATAACATTAAGCAGTGATAAGCCGCTGCTCTGAGATGTATATAAAAATAAATACGACAACTGTGCTATCAGTTTACGCGAGTCTGGCGGTGAGCAGAGATGAGGTTCTCGGCAATTCAGATTTTCGTGTCTTGGTGGGATTGCTCATCCGACAAGAGGCACTGGCTCAGTTCCTGGAGCCCAATTGCGGTCTCACAGGCGTTGTGGACAGAATAGTAGACGGCATTAATGCCAGGCATGGCCAATTTCCTTGGATGGCTTACATTTATCAAAACGAAAATGACTTCACTTGCGGTGGATCACTCATTCACAAACGTAAGATTTTACATTTTTACTGACCTGAAAATGGAGGTGATCTTATGTTCTTATGTCTTTTTGACAGGATTTGTTCTGACTGCTGCTCACTGTATCGTCAATGACGAATATCTGTAAGTATATTATATATATTATGATCTCTTTACATTGGTTACTTCCATAACCTTAGCTCTGTGCGTTTGGGGGAGCACTTTACGGAATCCAGGGCTGACAGCTCGATAGTGTACAGAGTGACAATGGCCGTAAGGAATCGTCTTTACACCAAGGCTGAGCATATCAATGACATCGGGATTCTGAGGCTCGAGCGAGATGTTCAATACAACGGTGGGTAAAAAAAACCTCATTTTCAATGCATTTCTTACGAGTTTTCACCAACAGCAAACATCAGGCCGGTCTGCATCATGACGGATAGCCGGAGAGTACCATATGTTGGCTCCTACACGGCATCGGGATGGGGCAAAACGGCAAACAGTCGAACATCTGCGGTGTTGCAAATGATAGAGTTGCAGGATATAGATGAAAACAGGTGCTACGATCACATGGGACTTCAACTCGGTCCTGGACAGATCTGTGCCGCCCATCCTACTGGCGACACCTGCTTAGGTGATTCGGGCGGTCCGTTGGTGCACTCGGTGAATGTAGATGGCACTCCACGGTATGTCCAATTCGGCATCGTCAGCTACGGTGTATCGGCGTGCATAGGTCCGGGAGTCTATACCCGGGTGCACTACTATGTGGACTGGATTCTCAGAGCTGTGCAATATGGCTTAACCCACTAAAAAGAAACAATATATCTTTATAATGTATATAAATATATTGTTATGTACTTTTGTAAGAGGCAAAAGGTGAAATTTCCCTAAAGATAATGTATAATATATATTCCTGATCAGAAATAGTATAATTGTTAGTCTAGCAAGGAGCTAGAGTTTAATTACTATGTTTAAACTCTATTCATCTTTTTTTTCTTTATTAAATTTAAGAAAAATGCATAAAATTATGGTTGCTTAGTAAAAGTAAAAAATTTTATTAAAATCCGATTAAGATTTATTATAGTATTCATAGGAATATAGGTTTTTTGGCTTCGATTCCAAAAATATCTATGAAATGAATATTTTATTGTCTTTATATGAATATATACTCAGTGATCAAGAATCTTATTGTAGCTAAAAAGTTTTTGTAAAAACTTCTAATTGATTTTCGTTTAATTTTGAACCCTATTTTTGATATTAAAATAACATCATTTCAGTATCAAATTAAATTTTCAAGATTTATAAAATTTACTTAACTTTCGCACATTTTTGTTATTTCTATTAGCAACTCAAAATGCTGTCACAAATCTTGTGCACGTTCAATATTTCGACCAACAGAAGCATTCATTACGGCTTAATTATTTCAGCTACCAATCGAACAGGAATACTCTCCACAAAATGTGTGATCTTTGACTGAAATGAAAAATGATGGCAAGAGCACGGCAAACGCAAACAATACCAGAGGCCGCAATTAATTTTTCGCACAAATCGCAAAAATAATCAAAAATTAGATAGCACCAGCAGCAAAAGCAGCAGCAACATCAGCAACACCTGCTGACGAGGCTGGCTGTTGTTTTTAATGCAGCTGCATCGAAAAACAATAGGTTCCGATGCCCGGAAAGCTGTTATCCCATGATTGCGGTGAGTTTTCGGCCGGCTTTGCTTAGGCCTCGCTGCCCGCCACACAGTTGGCAGTCCTGAAACAATAATGTCCGCAAATTGACGCCACAAGCTGTTGGTTCAATTCGAGCACGAGCCGGGCCGGGATTCCCCCACTGGGAGCCTTCTGCCCCTTCTGGTGCCCCTCGCTGCGTCGGCTGCACTTCCTCTGTTTCGCCATATTGAATTTGAACCTCTGGTCGGGGGCAGCCTCAGCTGCATCAGCTTCGTCTTTTCCACACTGAGAGAATTATTGAGAGTGAATCCAACTTTTTTGTATGATTATTTCTTTGATTTATAGTTTTTCAGTGTAACTAAAGTAAATTTTAAGGAAGCTGCTAATTAAATTTATAATATAAATTCTGCAATATTAAATGTCCGTCTGTACGATTATGTGAAAACTAGTTCTCAGTATTGAAGCTATCTGAAAGAAACTATTCAGTTCGTCTTCTATATACTCTCACTTATATATAAGTCGGAACGGTCCGAATTGGATAACTTTATCTTACAGCTGTCATAAAAGGATAGAAAAATTTGTAGAAGAGTTATTAAAACTTGTTTAATTTTCAACTTATTTTCTACTTTCTTTTTGAATAAATGTTATAATAAATTATTCTTTACCCCTAAAGATTTCAGCTCATTAAGGCTCATTCCTCTAGGTGCATGGATGCCATGCCTCTTGCCCTAGCTTTTGCGGAAAAACCCGCTCCGGGCTGTCCCTCCTGCTGTTCCAACTTCATGTTTTGGTGCTGCTTTTATTTGCCAGCTTGCTTTCTGCTGGTTAGCCGGTTGAATTTCCCAAAAATTTTCAACTCGCAGGCCATGCAGGCAGTCTCCCGGCCTGGACATCATCGTCGCGCGTGTTGCCATCGAAAATACAAGCAAACATATTGGCTCCCTTTTGCCCGGCCTCCACATCCACATCCACATCCTGGCTGCTCCTGGCTGCACATCTCCCACCATTCCCCTGGCAATAATTATCGTGAGCGTTGTGGCTCCGGTCCGGCAACTTGTTGTTTAAAATGCATTCTGTATGGATTGATCTCGACTCTGCGGCACTGCATTTGCAAATTGCTGGTTATGAAATCTCAACAAAAATTGCACAAATGCCAGTCTGAAGGCTGTTCATATTAAATTGATATGCTGCATATATGACACGCCTTTAAATATTTATTTAATGAGGAGCGACTTTAATAGTTAACTTATGACATTAAATATTTATATGATTATTCAAGTGTTTGTGATTATTATTTATTTGTTTTCTTCAACTCGTAAGGAAATAATTTACTAAATACGCTTAGGCGGGACATATGTAGTTTTTAAATTATAAAAAGGAAAAATAGAAAAGTAAAGAAGCAAAAGAACAATGAAAATATCGACCAACTAGTATGGAAAAAAACTATATTATCCATTCGTCTTAATAATATAAAAAAAGATGTTATTTCACTTAATTGTTTGTTTTACTGATTATATCAAACAGAATATTGATAATCCTACAAATATTGCAATGATAAAACATCGAAGCAATTTCAATAATTAATAAATAAATACTCCCAAGTCTTCCAACAAAAAAAGCATTGAACTTTAAATTTAATTCAATAAAGGAAAATAAAACAATTTTGTGTAAGTTGAAAGGTTCTCCTCTAGGACATTTTCACAGCTCAGTTATATTGGTTTCGGAGGATAAATAAATCTTCCAAAATACCAAAGTTATTATAAACAATTCAATTAATTAAAATCATATTAAGAAATGTGTGTGCTAACCTTTTGTTAGGCCCATTAATACTTTCAAATGCCTTGATGTTAATTTAGATTACCAATAATTTGTTTAAAGTGAAATAATCAAACAATACCACTTAATTTATTGCTTTTGAATGGTTTAACTTCCATTCTAAGCTTGAAAATCCAACTTAATCTAACAAACTTCAGCCTGAGCTAGAGCCACCAATCACAAACACAACACGAAGTAGAGTTATCGACAGATGCAATATGCATGCTGCCCCCAATAAATACCAATTAAAATTTTATTCTCATTGAAAAAAAAAAGAATATATAAAAACCTACAGACAATAAAACAATTTGTGGTTTTTTTAGAATCGCTTTTACAAATAAAAAAAAGTGAGAATTGTGGCATAAATAACAATAACAGAGTCTGAAACAATGCGGTTAAAGCGTTCACAGCAGCTGGAACAACTCGACCAATGAAATCAAATAGGAGTCAAACGCATTTATTTAAATCAAAACAAGCAGAAAAACCTGTCAAAAAAAGGACCCACTAGCAATTGGGGGGTGAAACTAGCAGGGAAAGATTCCGGAAACTAAACTGAACTCGACCCAGATTCAAACCCAAACCCATCCTGAATATATATATATATGTTTATATTCACACGCACTCTTTGCACTTGCCACAATGTTTTTATGTGGCAATGGTTTTTCTTTTTTTGGTTTTTTGTCTGTCCTGTTGCCCTTTTTTCCTTGCCTTTATTGGTCTGTCATGTTTATGTTGGCAAGTTGTTTTTGTTTGCCGTGTAATCGAGTCAATTGTTTCCGGTTCGTCGATGAGGCAATCGAGTGAGTCTGTTCTTTATGGGTTTTTTTTTGTGCTTTGGGTTTTTGTTTTTTCCTCTTTTTTCTTTGTTGTTAAAAGGGAGCTTTGTTTTCCGTGTCAAAGTTTGTGTTTTTTGGTGTTGATATGGCCAACATCCGTTTAGGATATTGTTGCCCAGAAGGGGCGTTGCTGACAAGGGTTAATAGGCCCATAGGCCTGTCACTCCTACGCAGGGATAAGTAAGTTGTGTGATTTTAAATGATTTGTTAGCCATTCCTGCGTTAAGCCCAATAAAATGAGGCTTATTAATTGGGGATTTTGTGCTAAGGGGGGGAAATATAAGTACATATGTAAAATCATTTTTAATACAATTATTTGATATTATGACGCAGATTGAATTTGAATTTGAATAGAAGCAAATTTAGTGACCGATTCGTCAAACTTTTTATAAAAAAGAATTCGTGTTTAGTGACAAAAATGTTGTAGGAATATTATGCTTTATGATAATATATTTAATTTAATTTGTAAAGCAATTTAAAAACCATAAGGCAATGCTACAGAATACTTTAGGATTTGCTAATACACCAAAAAAGATAGTAAACCTGTGCTAGAAAAGTAAACAAATTTGAATTGAATTCAATCATACATAGGCATTAAAAATCTCTTTAAAAGGTGTCTCAAAGAATATTTTGAAGTGATTTTAGAACACGATTATCTTTTAAACTACTTTATACCGACTTAGACCTAGTATTATCCTTATAATAAATATATTCATAAACATATATGTTTAAAAACTTTAATGATACCATTTAAATCCATTTGTACACCCTATATAAGGACTGGCAAAGGAAAAAAAATAAATAAAATAGGAAATACAATCCCCATTCCATTTACAATTACAGATTTCCCTAATTTGCATAATCTTAAATTTTAAGCAAAAGAAAAACCCTTTTATTCACACTCATTAACATTCCCGCTAGCCAATTACCGCCCACAAATTTTGGCATCTTATGTCGGCCTGCTTGGCGTCAACTGCCGAGACATAATTAACCCTTATTTGTACATTTTATGGAGGCCACCATAAAAGAGCCATTTAAATTACAAAGCGCCATACAAGCCATGGCCATTTGGCAGGTCAACGGAGGAGTCCTTTGTTAATCGGCTGTTTTCCAGTGCCTGCCTGAATCCTGGCTCCTGGCTCCTGGATATACCAAAAGGGAATGCGTAGAGAGACTGTCTGAGGTGGAATGTTGATGTGTTGAGTGGCTCTTAACTTTAAGGCCAACTCGGTCGATGGTCGAATTAAAGCCGCTTACAATTTGGCCGCACTGCGGGCAAGCGGTTTAGCTCGCATAATCCAAGTATCTGGCCAGAACGCAAAACGCTCAGACACTTGACCCTTTCACTGCCTTCACCGAATCCCCAATTCAATTCTCTCCGATTTTATGTTGGTCTCAAAACTGTGAGCAGTCGAGGAGTTTGCTGTTAGGTCGTAAAATTCGATAGCCAGATGATGGAGTCTCGTGGTGATTCAAGCTGTTTTTTTTTTAATTAAAGGGGTGACAGCTTGGAAACTGGTTTTGCTAGATTTCTTAATCTTCCACAAACTACCCCTAAGCTTTAGTGCTACTTGGTTACCTATAATTCTCAAGTATTTCAAGCTCTATTCAGTCTTAGAGTCTTGAAGTTTTCACAGATCCTCACCAACAACCTTGTGCAGTGGCAATATCGCAAGCCATGAAGTACTAACTGAGCTGCGATTATTGCTAGTTGAAAACTTTAGCCAATAGCTCGCCTAGCTTAAGATCTTTGATCTTAATGCTGAGGCAATTTTTCTAAAGTCCGAAAGGACTGCCTTAATAATAAATTACACTTCAATTTAAAACAAGATTGTAGATTGCAATTCAATCACCAGGAATTAATACAATATAAATTATATTTATTTATGTCAAAATTTACAATTTTACAGTTACAGTTTTACATTCACAGTTTTATGTTTTTAATTGAATAATAAATGCATAGCTAGCAGAGCTGAATCTAGACCAAGGTCTGATCCCTCCTATATCATCTATATATGTACATATATGATATAATAATAATAATATGTGTAAGATATAATTGTCATGATTAAGACTTACCCCAGTGGATGACACGTCATTGCTTACATTCTTCCGGTGTAGACTTATAATCTTGGTGACTTTAGCAGGGTATCGAATATCTCATCATGTTTATCCAGTTATATTCCATTGGCCAGAGATATTTCTCGAGTCATCATATCACTGCCACAATCACTATCGATGTAAACACTGGGAAGGCCACGCACATACTGAGGTCGCGGCGCCGTAGGTGCCTCTATTTATAGTTCCCGAGCCAAGAGAACAGAGAAAGTGAGAGCGAGAGAGTAAGAGATAGGCAGAGAAACATGCAGAGAAAGAGCTAGCTCTGGATATGCACAGTGGGAGTTAAGCCTACCGGATAATAAGAGGCAGGGAGAGTAAGAGAGAGCGAGGCAGCGAAAGATGGAGGGAGCTGTTGATGCTGATCAAGAATATTAATAATTGCAAACTTATGACTAAAATTATAATACCCTGCAAGGGATAAGGATAATAGATAAATTTTCTTAATTTAAAAATCCACTAAAGTAGTACTTAAAAAATATACAAAACTCTTTTAAATTTATTTCGTAATTGTCTCTTTTTAACCATTGTTATACATATATCCTTATTCTACACTAAACATAAATTATTGAATGTTTGCAAGCCTGTTTCTGCTCCCCTAGTCCTTTCTCCTATGTGTCTTTTTCCTCTTCTTGGCACTGGATGCACTCGATATCTGCTCCAGGGAAGAGTATCCCGTCGAGGTCGAGTCCCTGCTCTGGCGATAGGTATGCAGGGGCTTCCTGGTCAGCCAAAAGCGGATGAGAAAGTGAAACTCTGCCTTCAGGGCCAACAGGATGGTATCTGAAATCAATTTCGTCGATTACTAAATGGCACGCTGTTGATGGTAGCCCTGAGCAACCTTCTCCTTAACTGCTATGCGATGGACATGCCAGAGGAACTCGGCCACGCCAATCACAAATGCAATAATCACGCCCACAATGAGTACCACGAACAGTCCGCCCACCGAATCCATATCGAACTGGCCATCATCGACGACGGAGGCATCCGAGTCACAGGTGCTCTCATTGCTATTAAACCATTTGTTGCGCAAATTGTACAGAACTCCAGTTTCACTCAACTTCAGGATGCCCACACTGAGATTGGAACGAAAGTTGGCATCTGAGAGGAACATAAGAGGATAATATTAATCTAAAAATTAACAACTTAAAGTTCACGATAAAACTTATTAATTTTCTTACTCAGCGGCACAGCTATGCCATAATGCTTTCTCCAAAGCTTTCTCCAATCTGGGTGAGCTCACAATTGCGTTGCACATAGTACTGCAGATTAGTGGTTTCCATTAGGAAGGCATAGTGCCTCTGCTTAACTTCACCCGATCCACACCCTCCTCATTGTTCTTGGTAAATGCATCCGGCTTAAAGGATAACATTTTGTTCCAGGCCATCCTGTTCTCCGTATCATTGGACTCCGAGAAGTACACTGAGGTGGCTCCTCCGCGGATTGTGCCAAACTGCACCTTGTTCTGGTCAACGAGATCATGAAGAGAGCCTATATCTCCGCTATTTTCGAAGAGGTAATAAAAGCCGCCAATTTGGCTATGTATGTTGAGAGATAAGCAGGGCAAAGATCCACCAAAAGGCAGTCAGTAAACGCATGGGAAGACCCCTGAATAAATAAAAGAATTTTATTAACATATATAAAACTATTAATATAAGTAATAGTCATAATAATTTCCACTTACCTTGGCAAAAGATCGCATCCCTGATTAAGAATCGATCCCAACACCAACCACATAGTGTTATGCAGATGCCAGGTATTTTCCCGAACCATTTCGTGATTTTCATTCACCACCGGATGCTCCCATTCATATTGATCCATGCGACCGGCGAGAATCAATGCCCACGCTGTTATCATCATGGCAATCATTACATACAGCCAGACTTCAACACCATATGGATTCAGGAAAGCATAGATATCTGCCTTTGGCGGTGGCTCCTTATAAGACAGAATACTTATACCAAGTTGCATAAATGGAACAGTAAAGTCCACCACAGATCGACGTGCCTGGGTTATGGTCAAGTCACAAATGCCAATTTGTGCATTCTACAAATAAATTTTAATAATAAATGTTAATTATGATAGATTCCTGAAGATTATATTCTTAAAACTGGAACTATATATATATATATAACAAATTTAACTATATATCAGGATCCTTAATACTCACATTATCTATCAACTGACGAATAATGCCATCCCATTCATCAGTGGCCGCATCGTAACTTCCATATTTGTTATCCCTAACTGGTTCAAAGTTAAAATCAAATTTACATATCTCGGCTAATTTGTAAATTAAATCAACGGCATAGCCCTCGAAACGCTCATTGCCCTCGAAGTGAACTCCTTCCGGTTCCTCTCTGCAAATATAAAACATAGTTATAATTCTAGTTTACCATAGAAATACCATATAAAACTAACCGCCAACTAAAGTAGGGTTTACCCACACGAGTGGCCACTGTATAGCGTACGGGTTTTTGGGAGAAATCCTCTTTGTTCTCGAGACGCCTTTGTTTCACCGCCTGAGTTGAATTCTCCCTTATTTTTTCAAAGTCCACAAGTTGAAATTCCTTGTTCCAAATATGGGTCACACGATCAATAAGAGGATTATATACTCCAGGTTGAAGTCATCACGCTGTCCCTCAGCATTTATCTGAAGTCTCTGGGTCTTAAAGGGGGGTTTCACCTGCTTGGGAGACACCTGAAAGTCCAATTAAAATTATATACGTAATAAGTATCCTTTTGTTAAATAATGCACTCAACTTACCATTTTCATCTGTTCTATCAGACGAGGTCCTGGCTGCCAAAACCCCGACCGCAGCTGAATTGAGGAGTATAGAATCCTGGACGCTGACTTATCTCAAGCAGGGCATTGTAAAACAGGACAACCGAGTCGTAAACAAGCTGAGTTGCCAGGGAATCAAACTTTTAAGAAATATAAAATAAAAATGTAAGATCTCAAGATTATGGATAAGAGCTTAGATGTCCTACCCTAGTGTCCACTTCATTGTCAAAAACATCATCTCATCGTGAATTGGTGGCGGAATATAGGCTCGTATCCTAATAGCTGCCACAGACACAGTAAACTCTCGCGAATAGAAACGATCGATGCCACTGACATGTGTATCCAGGTTGGTAAGAAAGAGGTTCTATATTATATAAATATATTAATTTAAATATTAATAATAAAATTTAAACTTAAACTTCTGATACCTTAAATATAACTTCATGATGATATAGCAATTAAATATCTTTCTAACTTTGAATTTGAATTTTAATTATTCCACTTTACTCACATTGAATGATCCAGTCATATTAAATGCAATTGAGGCATTGATCACATCCACCAAAATATCGGTTGGACAATCAAGGAGAACAAATTTCTCACGAGTATTGCTAATTCGCTTCCAGAGAATCCTGTAGTCACCTCCTCGCTCGAATTCCTGCATTTTGATTCCAGTTTTATGTAGCTGCTTCCAGGCTAATATATGCTGCAGACGACTAAAATCTAAAGGTGAGGATAGGTGGGATAAATATGAGTTCCAATACAAGGTTCAATTAATTTTAATAAAAGGTTAGGTCTATACGGTCAAATTAGAAGTATTAAGGAATATTAGTCAAATCAAAGAAAGACATTAAAATATTTTAAATATATGTAAGTAAAAATGAGAAAAATAATTAAATAAAAAGTATTTAATCTATACTACGTGCACTTTTCTCATAGGCAATGGTAAAGGACTTCCAATCGAAGCTCTTGCTCCCAAATATCGGACAGGCATTCGAAAGGACCAATTCCATGGGGGCCACGTTAACAGTCAGCTGATGATTGAGTCTCACCCTGGCCGATTGCTGAGGATGCCAGTCGAACTGCAGTGGGGTATACCCGTCATGTTGCACAGTACCTCGACAATATCTGGCGGAGATTTGGAAGAGTAAGTAATTCAGTGAGAGCAAAAGAGATAAATCATGGGCCGATATATTTTTGTTTAGAATGAACCGAGGAACTAACAAAACACACAACGAATCTAGCGATCAAAACACGAAGAGCACGAGAGAAAACTAATGTTTTTGGGGAATTTTCTTGGCACTGTGTCAAATAGTCCCCAACCACCGATCCGTTTACTGCAAAAATTTGGTAGATCCAAGCGAGCAGCTAGCCCAATTTAATGGCCAACATGTGTGTAAGTGTGTTTGGCTATTTTGAAGAATCATTAACGAGGTTGACGAGCCTTTAGAAGAAAGAGCTCCTCTCTCTATGTTTCTCTCTCGATCTGTCTGTCTTATCTATTCGATTTTAATGCATATATCTTTTTGTATATGCAAGAAGGCATTCTTTTATGACGCCAAAGCATATGATTTGTTTAAAAATAATTTAACTACGGCCAGACAAAAGAGAAAAAGGCCAACTTACCGCTGTTTGTCTTTGAACTTGGTCCGAAAATAGCAGCCACACCATTTCCAATCAAGTCGCAGCTAAATCAATGAAATAAATTCTATATAAATACAAAAGTATTAATCCAACAAGTGATTATTAATGACTCACAAAGATCTTGCAGCACAATGCTGTCGTCAACGGTCAAATAGTGTTTGATGGGCTCCAGTCTCAGGGCTGGATTCACGGCATTCACCTCTTGAAGTGCTGCATCAAAGGCCTCGGCCAACTTCATTTCCGTATCAAAAAAGATGGCTCCTAAATAAATATGACATGTATATAACTGAAAAGCTAATCGATAAACCATTCAACCAACCAATTTTCACAATTAAACCATCTTCATTGGCTCGGCTGGATAAAATGAGGCCACAAACACTAGGAACTGTTGAATACCGGACATGATGTCATCTAGATCTGATCATAATTTCAAACCAATATATACTGCTATTTCGAATTTCACTTCAGTCCCCACTCAATCCATCTATACACAAAATGTATTCGATTTTTTTGCTTAAAAAAATAATATCGGCGAAAAAAACAAAACTCAACCGGATCCGGATCCGGACGGGGGCACTGCTCGCAAGGCACTGAGAAGGCCCCACAAAAAGCAATTCTCACAGAATTTTGGAAGCATGCCGTGACAGATCTCTGGGAGACCGACAGACCGAACCGCCTTACTACGTCAACGGAGTCCCATACCACGCACCACTCGGAGAAGAGCAGGCTGCCAGCACATGACCAGAGTCTAGACCAAGCAGACACTCGCATGAGCTCTAGCTGGAAATGGCCCAATAAATGAAAACTAAATGTTCTCTAAAATTAGGCAAGCCGGACGCCCCCACAACCGGCTAAGTAGGGTACATCAGGGCGCCTGCAGAGTGTATGGAATAAGGATACCCTGGATCACAAAGAAAGTTATCTTTCTCAAAAAATTGGTGTAAATAAATTGTTAAGAATTTTATAAAAGACAAAAGTCTATTTATAATTATTAAAATGCTAACATTTAATATGAATTATTAGAATGTTTTGATGATTGAAACAATTCTTTTAATTTGTATTTACTTATTTTTCAGTATATATTGTTTTATTTTTATAAGTATACCATAGAGCCTGAAGAACTTGATGCTAAGGAAAAATTTTTAGTTGATATTCTCTAAAAAAAATTTTAAAATACTTTATAAAATTAATTTTATTTGTATGCGCAAACTTAAAAAGTAGTCCAATATACCGCCATGCACCTCTAAGTAAGTGGTCTAAAAACTCTATAAATATAGCACAAACTATATATATACATGAATTTATATATACCAAAATATTAAACGCATAGCCATAGTTTTTTAGAAGACTCCACATGACATAGCTGCACAAATGCTTTAATTCAGCTTCAAGAGGCGCTGACAAATATATTTCCAGAGCTCCTAACTAGCCGTCTTGCTGCGGGTCTTTTCCTTGGAGCTACGCCTGGATCCCGAGGACCTTCTCGACGAGGACTTGTCACTGCTGCTGGAGATCCTCATGGGCTTTTGCGTACCCAGAACTTGAGAGCAAAAGCCAGTTCCGCTTTCAAGGCTTGCCATGGGGTCACCCGCTCCTCCACTGCCACATGCTGCACATTCCAGAGGAACTCAAAGATACCCAGACGACGCCAGTAAGGACTCCGCCAGCCAGGACCAGAAAAACACCACCCAGCTCGATAATAGATAGCTCATCGCCATCCACTTCATGAAAGGAGTCACAGGTGACATTATGCTTCTTCCACCACTTGTTCTTCATCTTGTACAGCTCTCCCTTCTCGCTGAGTTGGAGAATGGATACGCTAAGGTTGGTTCGGTAATCGGCACCTGGACAGACCTCCAGTTAGTATTCATTGATCTTTCAAACTATACAAGTAGACTCACCCAATGGCACTGCCAGGCCGTAATGCTTCTCCCGATCTGCTCGCCAATCTGGGTTAGATCACAATTCCGTCAACATTATACGTTAGACTGGTGGTCTCCATTAAGAAAGCATAGTCGCCCTTTCCTTTCGCACTCGAGCCACGCCCTCTTTGTTTGTACTTGTAAAGGCGGAGGGATTAAAGTCCTTCATTTGGTTCCAAGCCCGCTGGTAATCGGTATCGTTGGATTCGGAGAAGAACAGAGAGGTGCTGCCACCGCGCATACTGCCAAAGCTCACCTCATCCTGTTCGATGAGATCCTGTAAGCTCTTGATGCACTCTGCCACTTGTTGCTGGTCAAAAAGGCAGCCAAGTTGGCCGTATAAGTACTGAGCATCATCAGGGCAAAGAACCACCACATTCCCGTAAGAATACGCATATGAGGACCTCTGTAGAACAGAAAAAAGAGTGTTACTTTTTAGCAATTCATCAGATTTAAATTGCTCTTAAATTTATTAAGAGAGGAGATTATTATGATTTTATTAAGTTTATTATCCTTTAACTCACCTTGGCAGTATGTCGCAACCCTGTTGCATAATGGAACCCACCATCAACCAAGTCGAGTTATTCACATTCCAGATATTCTCCAGTTCATCGGGATCTTGAATAGCTGGATTCGGAGGTAGCCACTCGCGATAGGATAGTCTTTAAAGTATGTTTTAAAAACCTAGAAACCATAAAGATCTGTTAAGATTATTTACCTGGCTATAAACACAAAGGCCAGAGTCATCACAAGCTGGGCAAAGATCATATAAATCCAGACTTCCAAGGCAAAGGGTTCCAAAAGGCAAATGATTCTTTGGCTCGGGAGGACTTTGTAGTGCAGAATGCTAATGCCCAGTTGCATAAAGGGTACCGTAAAGTCCACCACAGATCTTCGCAATTGAGTGATGGTCAGGTCACAGACACCTATCTGAGCATGCTGGAAGAATAAGAATATTTAAATAACTATAAGAACAATTAGAACCAATTAAATTCACTTTACATGATCAATCAGCTTGCGAATGATGCCGTCCCATTGCTTGGTCTCTGGATTATATTTGCCATTACCATTGACGATCATGAACTCGTAGTCGAACTCCATCAGTTCGGATAGCTTACTTATGAGATCCACGGCATAGCCCTCGTACTTTTCCCTGCCTCTAAAGTTTTCATGATCCTCTCTAAAAAAAAGGGTTAATTAAAGTCTAAACTTAGTTTTCATCTGTAGCAACCAACTTCATCATAAAATAGGGCTCCTCGAATGCGTGACCACCGTGTAAACCTTTCGCTGCTCTGAGAAATCCGGCGTGGCACCAGAGCTCTCCAGTTCCAGGTTGAGGCGTCGTGTCTTTATCCCATTGTCGGGAGTCCAAACCATCATGGGCTCATTAACAGTGGGCTTGTAATCTCCAGATTGAAGTGAGTGCGCTGTCCATACTCATTGAACTTCATGTTCTCCGTCCTGAAATGTGGCTCCACGTCATCCTCCGAGATCGTCTTCATTTCATTGACAATAAAGGTCCCAGCATCCAGGGACTAGGACTGCCACAATGTCTATTGGGAGGATGATACGGTTGCATGGCTGCAATCACATTTCTGGCCGAGCTGGCAAAGAGCACCACAGCATCGTATATAAGAACTGGCAACATGGTTTGATTTCTCAGAATTTGCTAAAAGATATTAAAAGTAAGTATGAAAATTACAAAGTTCATTAATTTAACTTACATCCACCATGCTTATACGTGTCTTCTTTCTCTCAAAAGGATTTGGATCCACTAATTTCAATCGCACTGAGGTAATATTGGCCTTAAATCTGAGTTGTAGATGTCCTTCAACCCGAACTGTGTGTATCCAGATGCGTGAGAAACCAGTTCTTTAAAGGGAAAAAAGTTTAGTTATGATTTTAAGATTATTTGTTTTGGGGACTTACTCTAAATGGACCCTGCAGCTTAAAGTCCATGGATACCTTTAACAACTCCTTTAGGGTTTTTGGCTCACAATCCAAAATTATGCGCTGCTCGTGGAAAGTCTCATCTGCTTCTTTCCAAAGGACTCTATAATCCTCGGCATAGTCAGCCAAATTTCTGAGTTTACAAAGTCACTGTTAGAGCCTGAATATTCATAAGATCTTGTAAACGCGCCAGACCTTAAATATGAAAATTATTTGAAAATGGAAAAGGGTTATATCTATATAATTTAGATTTTATATCCTTAGTTAAAATCAATCAAGTGCTTATTGAAATAACCACTTTTGATGTATACCTTGCAACCTTTTGATTTACTAACTTAGCATTAAATAAAGACAACCTTAAGTCATCACTCACCCTCTGGCGTTTCATAGATCAGGGTGAAGGTTCGCCACTCGTAGTTGGTCTTGATGATCTCAAAGTAGGCTCGGGATAGGACAGACAGGGAAGGTGCCACACTGACGGACATCTGGTGGTTGAGCTGCTCCTGCTTCGTGGCCTCCAACTTCAAATCGTACTCTATGTGTGGAATGCCGGTCGTGTTGGCAATTTGCGCAACAATATCTACGATATAAAGAATATCTGTCTGTAGCCAGTAGCCTTACACTCTCTCAATGTGTGTTTTGCGCGTACCACTAGCCGCCTTTGAACTTGGTCCGAAAATAGCCGCAACGCCATTGGAAATCAGTTCACAAGCTACACGGAAGATGAATTTCTCATCAATATGTTATATGTATATATAAAATTCACTCACTAATCTGCTGCAGTAAAAAACTATCGTTGGTGGGCATATACCGCTTGATGGTGACAAATCGCAGCTCGGCAAATTTCAGGTTGTTGACCTCGCGGAATGCCTGATCGAAGCTGAGTTCAATATCCTTTTCATTTTCATAGAAAATTGCACCTTATCGGAGGGAGAACAAAAAACTATTAAGCATATAGCTAAGGCTGATGGATGAGGACATACCCACGGTAATTTCATTGCGACCATCACCGCCAAGGGCGAGTATCGTTTTGAGAAATACGATTGTGAGGGCATAAATTGAACTGGATACAAATGCATTTTTTTCATTTTTCCTCCAAATTCTCAAAACTAATTGAATTTTCTAAATGCAGCAGCCATTTCGTTTTCACTTCCCATCTACATATGTACAAATCTATATATCCGCCGGCGCACACACTGGCACACGAATACGCACTAAAAATCACGACAAGTCCAAAAGTAAGTCACTTTTCACGATTTATTTTTCACGCACGGCAGCATCCAGTCTTGGAGCGCTTCGGACGCCAACTGACTTGGTCCATGTCCATCTGTGTGATCGGAATCCCGCTCACACTCTCTCTCTCTCTAGTTCTCGAGAGAGCATTTATGATGTGCCAGCCCACGCTGCGTATACGCGATGCTCTACAGAGAGGAAATATGGCGCTTCTCGATGACGTAGTCGGCATCAGACAGTCTGGCCCGCCACCGCTCGATTATTTTCCTTGTCAGCAGCTCTTCGCAATTGTGTGCCAAATATTATGATGTTCGTAATATTGTTTGCTTTTGGCCAGCTTTTTGATCTCTTAAAAGGCCTTTTGATGTCTTTAAGTGCGTTTGATGGAATTAAAGGTGACTTTTAAGGAAGAAATGCAATTGAAGAGGAAAATTCAAATATATTTTATTTATTTATATACAAATTTTGATCAGGTCATCCTTATCATTTTAATTTCTTCCACTTATTCCGCTTGAATAACTCATAAAATTCAAAGCTTGAGAGTCATGCTATTCTCATGCTTTGTATTTAATCCCTTAAATCCTTGGAAGGGTTTTTGCTAGGATTCGATCACACTACGCATTACCATTCGTAGGACCTAATAAGAATTCACAGCGAGGACTTTTTACTTTACTAATGAACCCTTATGCTTGTCTACTCTCCGATGGCAAAGAAAAGTCGGTTATTTTAAATAGTTTATATAGTTCAAAAATTAATGTGTCTCTAGTTTTTGAAACATCAACAAATTGTGACAACTCAACAAAATGTGAAATAAATTAAAAATGAAAAAAATAAATACTTTTAGTCAGTTATATTCACACTCTCCACATACACCATTTTGGTTAATTTCCAGAAATCACAAATAACACATAAACACTTGGGGCTGAAGTCCATCCTCTATCACAAAAATGGGCACACAGGGCAAGAGCGTGGACTTCAGCGTGTTGGAGTTCGATACTTACAATGACTACATCTTGTCTTTTGGCACGGTCAAGGATAATCGGTATCTGGCCAACCGGGATACGACAGTGACCATCGTCCAACTGGGTTACCGCACCACCAAGATCCCCTACACGCTCGAGGAGTTTCTCAAGCGAGTGGATATCGCTCTGGAGGCCATCAGGCCCAAAACTTCCCTTATTGGCTTATTCAGTGATGCCTTGGCGCCGACGAATAAGGATCCAGTGCTTTGGCTTCAAGTCCGCGAGATGCATAACCGGAACAAGATTATTTCGGTGAGGAAAAGAATATTTCTAAAATACAGCATACTTTTGGCTGTGTATAGAAATTTATGCATTTTTAATTGCTAGATGCATTATTCTTCCACAGACAATCGTCTTCACCTCGTATATCAACAATGATGGATCGGAGATCTCCGGCTATATCGACCTGGACATGAGCTGGCGCAACTGCATGCTCGAGACTATAAGGCACACAGATTGGCGAGCTGTCTTTGCGGGTCGCAGTCGATTGAAACCCATGTCACATAACCTGAGCTACTCGAATCCCAGGTACAACATGGTCAAGTACACCGATAGCGATAACTTCCTGGTGGTGCATCATCATCGCTTCGGTTTGATGTTTATGCATCGTGGTGACCACAAAATGATCACGGTGGGCGGTCAAACTAATATGTACACAGGTAACGCCAAGCGAACGATGATCTATTCACCAAAATATGGATACGTGGTCTTTTACGATCACATTGTTCGCAAGAAGGTCTAGTTTTATTTGGTGGTAACATCCAAATTACTAGTATAATAGAATGTGTATTAAGTAAAGATCAGGAGAATAGTTTCGAATTTGGATTGGTTTTAATGTGGGTAAGCTGAAGGAATATTGGTTAATATTCTATTGGGATATTTTTATTCATTTATAATGATAATCATTTCGTGACTGACGCAGGTATTTAAAAGAATTATACTCTTAGCGTCAGGAAAATAAATAATTCAATCGAATCTGTAAGGCAGGTGACGAACTTTATTAATACAAAACTAAACTAGTTTATAGAGATATATTTTCTGTAAACTCTTTATCATGTTCTTCAGTTCTTATCAATTTTAAAGTAGATATACAATATAATAATTTCACTTCGAAAAAACTTGAATAGTATTCTTTAATTTGTAAATAATTAACATACACTTCCACATATATTATCCACCTCACACATTTATATTTTTATTTCAATAAAATTCCTATTTTCAAGTGGGTAGTGCCATATTATTTATTGTAAAAGACACTCCTACTGGCCGGAAGAAGTTGACTTATTTTACGACCATTTTAATTTGAAGTTTATAGCACGCGCCATAGAAAAATCCCATTAATCATAATGGGGGACAACATTTCGCTGGCATCCATCCAAGTGGAAACGGATCTTCGCTCTTCAACGCTCTCGAGAATATTGAAAATTGTTTAGATTCTAAAAATTGTTTAGAATACGCTGAGCAAAACAAACGCCAATTTATGCTCTTTCTCTGTAGCTGCTTGTGCTCGCGCTTTTAAAATTAGCATAGCTGCTGATGTTTGCTCTGATTTCATTGCATCGCAGACCTCTGAACATCGCAGTTGCAAATTTGTTGCAACAAATTTTATTATCTGCACGATTTACATCATCAGTGAAAATCAGCAGAAATCAGCTTAAACCGAACGGTTTACTTCAATGGAAATCTCCGGGTTTTAGTATACAAAATGTATACGATATTCGCACACTTCCTGTTGATGGCCATACCCGCAATGGCAGATCGAAATCAGTTCATGGTGGGTAAGTTTCATCTGAAAATAGGTCACTGCCTCAAATTGCTGCCATTTGAATACGAAATCGAGTACATTTTCTAGGCAGCATCTTTACATCGGACAAAGATGAGTCGGAAATTGCATTCCGCACTGCAGTGGATCGAGCAAATATATTGGAACGCACTATAGAACTGGTTCCCATTGTGATGTATGCCAATACGGATGATAGTTTCATCATGGAAAAAATGGGTAAGTACTTATGGTTGGAGAAAAGATTTTATAGGATTTTAGTACAGTAAATTGCTCCAGTTTTTAGGGGAACTAAAAAGTTTTATGGGTTTTCACATATAATTCACATACAAGAGCCCAAATTCACTTACTTTGGTTTCAATGAATATCTCAAGTTAGATTAGACATTAAAAACATTTTTAAATACTTTCGTTTCAGTTTGCAATTTAATTTCCCAAGGAGTAATTGCTATTTTTGGACCCAGTACAGGCAGCAGCTCAGGCAAGTCTTAGAATTAATTCCCAAGAATAAAAACAACACTATAATATATCACTTATTTGTTTTGCAGATATTATTGCTTCGATATGCGATACCTTGGACATACCTCACATTGTATACGATTGGATACCCAATGAATCCATACCAGATCGAGAACACTCCTCCATGACACTAAATGTGCATCCTGATAATCTCTTATTGTCCCAAGGATTTGCGGAGATAGTACAGAGCTTTGGTTGGCGGAGTTTCACAGTTGTATACGAGTCCGATAGAGGTTGGTAAAAAATTAAATTATTTATATATATTTTTATTTTTAAATATTTTATACAAATTCCAGAGCTCCAACAGCTGCAGGATATTTTGCAAGTCGGGGAGCCTAGCAGTAATCCCACGACAGTAAAACAACTTGGCTCGGATGAAGATCACAGGCCGTTCTTGAAGGAAATTAAACTCTCCACGGATAACTGTCTGATCCTGCATTGTTCTCCGGATAACTTATTGCCCATATTGCAGCAAGCTAACGAGTTAAAAATGTTGGGCGAATATCAGGTTTGAAATGAAGTGAATTATTTAATGATAATTATAATATTTTGAATTATTTAAGAGCGTCTTCATACCCCTTCTTGATACCCATACCATTGAGTTTGGAGATCTATCCGGCGTTGAAGCCAACATAACCACAGTTCGTTTGATGGATCCCACAGATTTTCATATCAAGAATGTGGTCCATGATTGGGAGGAGCGGGAAAAACGTGAGGGACGCTACTATAAAGTGGAGCCAGAGAAGGTAAAAACTCAGATGATTCTGATCAACGATGCCGTTTGGCTGTTTTCTAAGGGTCTTACTGAGCTGGGAATTTATGAAGAACTTGCTGCACCGGAACTTGAATGCAGGAGGAAGAAGCCTTGGCCTTTTGGGAAGCGGATCATTGAGTTTATGAAGGCTGTGAGTTATCTAGAAGTTTTTTTAATTATTAAATATTTAAATTATAAGATAATAATAAGATGAGACTCAACTAACATAATCATTTTCCAGCGCTCGGAGGAGACAGCCACTGGCAGAATAGACTTCAACGAGAATGGTCAAAGAAGCTTTTTCACCTTACGCTTCATGGAACTAAATGCTGGTGGCTTTCTGGACCTGGCCACTTGGGATCCGGTAAATGGCCTGGATGTGCTCAATGATGACGAGGAGAGTGAGAAGAGGGTGGGCCAGAAGCTCTCGAATAAAACCTTCATTGTCTCCTCTCGACTGGGAGCCCCGTTCCTCACATTGCGCGAACCCGAGGAGGGACAAATCCTTTCGGGTAACTCTCGTTATGAGGGCTACTCCATTGACCTCATCGATGCCATTGCCAAAATGCTGAACTTTAAGTACGAATTCAGGATGTCGCCGGATGGCAAGTATGGTGCTTTGAACAAGGCTACCCAGACATGGGATGGCATTGTGAGGCAACTCCTTGATGGGGTGAGAGTTCTTTAATTTAAATTCATTTGAAAGTATTTAAAATTGAATATGTTTCCTTTTAGAATGCTGACCTTGGCATCTGTGACTTGACAATGACATCTTCTAGACGCCAGGCAGTGGACTTTACACCCCCTTTTATGACCTTGGGCATTAGTATCCTGTTCTCCAAGCCACCCACTCCACCCACGGATTTGTTTTCCTTCCTGTCCCCCTTTTCGCTGGATGTGTGGATCTATATGGGATCGGCTTACTTGTTCATATCCCTGTTGCTTTTTGCTTTGGCTCGAATGGCCCCCGATGATTGGGAGAATCCACATCCCTGCAAGGAGCCTGAGGAAGTGGAGAATATATGGTCCATAATGAACACCACTTGGCTATCCATAGGCTCACTGATGGGACAGGGCTGCGACATATTGCCCAAGTGAGTAGGAAGTGGAGAAGAAATTATAAACTATTTGTAAAATTCTATCTTCCGATTCAGGGCTGCTTCCACAAGATTGGTGACTGGAATGTGGTGGTTCTTTGCTTTAATGATGCTTAACTCCTACACGGCCAATTTGGCTGCCTTTCTCACAAATTCTCGTCAGGGAAACTCCATCAACAGCGCCGAAGATCTGGCGGCTCAGAGCAAGATTAAATATGGAGCTATGGCCGGTGGCTCCACCATGGGTTTCTTCAGGGACTCCAACTTCAGCACCTATCAAAAAATGTGGACAGCCATGGAGAGTGCCAGTCCCTCGGTTTTTACCAAGACCAATGACGAAGGTGTGGAGCGAGTGCAGAAGGGAAGAATCTATATGCCTTCCTGATGGAATCCACCACTCTGGAGTATAATGTGGAGCGGAAATGCGATTTGGTGCAGATCGGTGGATGGTTGGACTACAAGAGTTATGGCATTGCAATGCCTTTTAGTGAGTATTTACAAGACATTATTTTCCCCAGAAATATATATAAATCAAACTAAAAAATCCTTTCAGATTCCCCATACCGCAAACAGATCAGTGGAGCTGTTCTCAAACTCGGTGAACTTGGTCAGTTGGCGGAACTAAGCGGAAGTGGTGGAAGGAAATGCATGGCGGAGGCAACTGTGAAAAGAGCGATGAAGAAGGCGGAGACACACCCGAACTAGGACTGGAGAATGTGGGCGGTGTCTTCCTGGTGCTGGGTCTCGGTTTGTGTGCGGCCATGGTTCTCGGTTGCTCAGAGTTTCTGTGGAATGTCAAGTCGGTGGCTATTGAGGAGAAGGTAATGTTATAGAATTTTAAAAAGAAAATTAAGTATTATAATTATACCTTACCTTTCCGCAGATTTCCCTCAAAGAAGCATTAAAATCGGAGGCTCTTTTTGCGGCCAGAATTTGGATTACCACCAAACCTGTACACACCAGCTCCGATTCGGGAAGCTCTTCTTCAGCCGGCTCAAGCTCCTCATCGAAATCCAACAAGTCCAAGTCAAGTCACTCCAAGCATTCCTCGAAATCCCACGGTCTGTCTATGAAAAGCCTCAAGAGTTCAGCGGATCACGATGTAGAGGCCTCGGTACATAGCAAATTAAAGAAAATTGGATCCATGTTCTCATTGAAATCACAAAAGACCACCACTCCGCCACCGCAAGCGCCGCCAATTGGATGGAAAGTGGACAATCCACACAGATGGATGAAGAAGAGCCTGAAGAATCCAAGGATCAGAGCCAGAACCCGAGCTAGAGCCAGAGCCAGAGCCGGAACCGGAGCAGCCGCACCATCGACATCATCACCATCATCACCATCGCCATCATCATCATCATCGCCATCAACCGGAAGAGGATTCATCGCCTAACCAAAGGATCAGTAAATTGAGTAATGGAGTTTGAAGAAAAATAATACCCTTTACAACTTATATCAGCTACAAATACTAAAATGTCAATACCCATAAAACATAAAGAATTAAGCATTTAATAGAAGTTTTAAATATTTGATTTTAAAAGTTGTTGGTCAGTTGCAGAGCCTTGATAAACCCTTTTTCAAAAAGACCGAAATATAAATAAATATCCAATAATAAAATTGTTTATATTTGTACCTTGGAATCAAAGGGAAATGATCAACATATCATATCGAGAAATTTGATAAATCAAAAGGAATGAATATCAAAACGAAACCTTACGATATCAATTATCAAGAAATAAATATAACTTTAGTCTTTCAATAGTCTATATAAAATAATATCGATAGCTACACACATCGCAGTGTTAAATATCAGTCACGGCATAAGCTATATTTCGATCATTTCTGCAACCCCTAATCGAGACTTAATAGAAAAATTGTTCTGATTTTCGGGGTTTTTAAATTTTTATTTGTTTTTAGATTTTTGTAATTTTTTTGTTGGTTTTTCATTTCTTTGTTTTTATCGTTTTTTTTCTCTTTTCGTTTAATTAAATTAACTTATTTTGGGCATATATTGACATACATACATAGCTCTTAATATAATATTAATAAATCATATGTATACAAGTATTGCTTCGATATTTGTAAACACTTCACTTGAATACTTAGGATAATAGTTTAAATTATTCTGTTCTTTTGTCACATTTTAAATGTTTATAATATTTATATGTTAATTTTCGCAAAGCTAATTGAATACGTTTGTTACACTTCTCTCCACATTAAGGTACAGGTTTTGTTGCTTATTTTAACATTCATTCTTTTTTGGATTTTTGTTGAGCTTCTGTCGCACAATTTTTCTAGTCATCACCTTCAGTATATATATTTATATATATTATGTCTATGCCTAAATCTATATATCATACAAAAATACAGAGCTAGAATAAGTGCATAAGAGAGAATCTGTCTGAATTGGACAAAGATAAATTAGCGGAATGAGAAAACTAAGAACACTGCCAAATATTTTCACTCACATATATACAGAATAAGATGGAAATTAAATATAAATTAATACTTTTTTTTATATATTTTTTGTGGAGTATTTTTGCTGTCTTGTTAGAACTTAAAGTACTTTAATTGGGGGGGATTTAAATAAGATATTCATTGTTCTTGGGAGAGGAATTTCCTAGTTTATTGCTAACCCGCCAGCTGTTTGTCACAATGACCATATCCTTGTGGCTGCGGCGGCGTTGTCAATCCTTGGCAGCGATGGCTACTGGAGGAAATTGCCGCTCATCATAGAGCTTCGTTGGAGTGTCAATGGCATCACAGAGTTTGCGAAATTTGGCAGAATCTGTGGAATAGGAATATAAATTATTATCTATATAATAAGTATATATAAATATGAAGTACTCACCAGACATGGCATCTGCCTGGTCCCCACGCAGGATGCTCGCATAGCTATTGTCCGGCATGGGATCCGGATTCTCGATGAGCACACTGGCCGCACAGCTCTTGAGCATGGTTAGCGAAGGCTGTGCCGTGGCATTTGTGGACTTGATCTGTGACTTTACAACACTTTCGCTCAGTTGCAGCTCGATTACATCCTCCAGAGCGCCACGCAGATCGTGGACAGACAGCAGCTTGCAGGCACCTCCCCGCTCCGCATTGAACTCGTGCACATACAGGAAGCCATCCTCACAGGCGATGAGCAGACGCAACTCCTTCTGGACGCGGGTCAGGGCACAGATATGCTTCAGCCCGCCTGAGCTAGCTGCACTGTGGCAAAGGATCGATCCTGGGACAGGACTTCGCTGACATGTGAGGCAGTAGAAGCGAGGACACCGCCTTGGAGAACATTCCACCCCAGCTGGCAACGGGCGTGGGCGCACTGTTGACTTCCTCGGCAACAGGAGGAACGCTCGTCGACTCCTTGGTTGCTTTGTCTGACTTGCAGCCACTTCAGCTGCAGTACAGGAAATTAATAACTGCAAACAATTCAGAGATCAGCAAAATACTCACCGATTGCCTTCAGTTCGACCGACTCCACGGCCCGGGCATCAATTTTGAAGACATGGACGGTTTCCGTGTTGGAGGAAGCGCACAGGAAGTCACCGTTGGCCGAGAAGACCAGCGAGGCAATGCGGACACAGCTAACACCTCGCCGGAACTCCTGCACCCGCTGACCATTCTTGACGCAAAACACTCGGATGACAGTGCCGCGTTCGGAGGCAGTGGCCAGCAGGGCTCCGCTGGGCGAGAAGGCCAGTGCCGAGAGCGGCGTATCATGAGCCTTGATGGTCATTCCCGTACGCAGCTTGCTGGCATTGAAGATGCGCAGTTCCCCACTGGTCTGGCAGATGGGGAAGGCCAGGTGTGAGTTCAGGGACAAGGCACAGAGACCCTGCTCGTTGGGGGCGATATTCTCGATAGAGTGCAGGATCTTCATGTCGCGAATGTCATGGATGTGTATGCTCTCCGCCAGGCACACGATCAACCTCTGGCGATTCATCCGCACACACAGGATCTCCGAAGGATAGAAGCAGTTGCAAATGTCCTGCTTCTTCTTAAAGTGCAGCATCTTAAGGCAGTTGGGCTTCTGGGCGGTGACCAGCACCACCAGCGAGCTATTGAACAGACGCTCCACGATTCGGATCTGCTCCGTATTGTCCTTGGCAAAGATCTCCTCGACCTTATCCTGGCCGGCTATCGAGTACAGGCGCAAGCCCGAGGGACTCAACACGGACAGGGAGCTATAAGAAAATAAATAAAATAAAGTGGGATTATTATAGAGAATTTTAATATACATTTTATATATTAGAGAATATATTATAAATCTTGTGATTAAGATTTATGCAATATGTTTAAAATAGTAATATAAGGTTTAACTTCTACAAGAAAGCCTTAAAGCTTGTTTAAAATTTGGAAGGCCATTACTTAATTATTTATTTCGGATATACATTTTAAAAATATAATTGTTTTTGTTCCTAATGCTAAGCCGCTATGAGAAATATGGCAAATTAGTTAAATCTACTGGTCTATAAAAAATTGTTACTTAGTTATTAACAATGTTACAATTTGATATTTTTCTTTAAACTACAATCAAGGCTTAACATTTATTGTTAAATAACAAATCCCTTTTAACTTTGAATATTTTAAACAAAAGCCTAAGAAAACAAGACAGTCTCCGCTAATTTCACAAGGTTAAATATATTTTTTATTTTCCTTGCTATAAAATCAGTATAAATATGTAGTTAAATTCCTGAATAAATTAACTTAAAATAGTTGTACTGGAATTATTTACAAGTCAACTAAAACAGTGCAAAATATACATATAATTAATTATAACTCAATATGTACACATTATTCTTTCAAGCAATAGACTTTGATTTTAAAGTACATTTTACTAATATTTAAAGAAACAATTTTCTTTAGCCTAACAAAGAACGCTTAATTTCTGTCCTATTTCGCAATGCAAGAAACAGTATTACACTATTATATTATACATTATTCCTTCCATTTTTGTTCAATTTTAAATCCTAGCAACAAACTCTTGATTTTAAAAGTACATTATTTACTAAATATTTAAAGAAAACATTTCCTTTAAGCCTAAACAAAAGAACACGTAATTTCTGTCCAATTTCGCAATGCAAGGAAACATTATGAAGTGTGAAAACATCAATCAACTGTTTATTAATCACTGTCTTTTATACTAATTAGTGAATTAGTCACGTTCAATCTCACATTTATTATTTAATTAGCCCTCTCGGGCTTCCAAAAATTGCCGTAGCGGACGGTATTTCACGTCCCCATGGCGGGGTATTGGTTAAAGTTTTCAACTAGCAATAACCGCACCTCAGTAGAACTTCATCGGTTACGGTATTGCCACTGCGCAAAGATAACCTTTCGGTCGCCGGCGACCGGCACTCCATGCCGACGGCGCTGGAACCAGTTGGGAATTTTATGCGCATACGCACGGAAAAACAACACAGGCAAACGACTTTCGGCTGCCGGTCAAAAGGTGCAGCATGCTTTTAGGCACTCGTTGTTCTTGTAGTGCAGCAAACAAGGGGGAAGGGGGGAGGAAGGAAGGATATTTTGGTTTTTGAGATTCTTAAGGGTGGATTTTCATTGCAGCAGCAGCAGGACAGCTGCATTTGGTCATTCCGAATGAAAATATGAGTCAGGATTTGAAAGGGTTTTCTATGAAGGATTTATTTTAACTTTTAGAGTTTTGTTTTATAGCAGGACATGAAATTTGTTTATTTTTTCAAGGTCATCTATAAATATTTATATATAAAATATATAAATAACCACTTGTTGAGCACAAGCAAATGCATTAAAAATCAATCAATTTGCAATTTGTTGATTTAAAACCTTATTTGGCAGTAATCTAAATTGGAAAAGGTCAAGAGGTCATAATATATAATTATAATATATTTTATCGATTAAAAAAACATTTATTAAATTTAAATTGTTTTAAATAATAAATACCTTCTAAAAGAGATTTTCCTCAAAAACAATTGAAGTTTTTACTAAAAGAAAACAGAACATTTTCAGTAAAGAACATAAACTATTCAGTGTAATTTAATTTATTAGTGAAATTCGTTTATCTATTGAGACGCTATTGCCTCCACATTTTGTCTTAATTTCTACTAAAAGCAATCTTGAGATCGAGCTTTGAACATTTTCGAGTTGCGCCAATGCACTTTGTACTCGGGCCTATGGCCAGGTTGTGCTTCCTTTACTCCCCTCTGCACTCCTCACAGGAGGTCACTGGGGGAGAGCTGGGACTCTCCCTCCGCCAGGTAAATGTGCATGGCCTTGAAGAGCAGGGCAATGCCCAACTGCTTCTTTTGCTTCATCGTCCAGGATTGGGCAGGTCCATAGTAATCGCCACGCTTGAGATTTGTTAAGTGAGCCAAACCCATGGCATCAATGATGGAAGCCTCACGGGTGTACGCATCAATGGGCATAATGTTGTGGAAGACATGCAGGCAAACGACTCCACTGCCATGCTGCCATATTTCCAGGATGCGCTCCAGCTTCCGGCTGCCCATTTTGCCGCTCACCGGCGGCGGCGAACGAAAGACTTCCGGCTGCAATGTGCGGAATCCGCCACCGCGGCCACCAGCAGCCGCCTTCGCCTTGTCCTTGTCCCTTTGCTGGTGGAGCCGCGTGTGCTGTCTCATGGCATCGTAGAGATGAGCGTACGGTCGCGAGGACTTGCCCTTGCCCACGTAGAAGATCGAGTCGAGAAAACGCTGCCATATCCCAAACTTGTCCAGAAAGGCGCTTTCCCCGGGTAAATTCCGCGAGATTCTTGGATCTATGAGCATGTAGATGAAGCTCTGCTTGATGTGGCCCTCGCGCAGGTTCTTCTTCGGCAGACTGGTCTTGGCGAAATGCTCGGCAGAGGCTACCTCATGCAACATGTACTCGTTGATCCTGGCAAAATCCTCCGACGAACGGAGAGTGCGATGCAACTCTACGGAATAGCGCATCTGCGCCTCTTGTGCATGCTTCTGGGCAGCCAGGAGGGCCTCCGTATTGCGCTTGTACTTGATCAGCTGCTTGATGTACAGCCGCTTTGTGGTCTTGGTAATGGGACCCACCGGAGCACCCAGCTGGGTTAGCTCCTTACGTAGAGCGTCAGTTTCATAATCCAGCGGCAGGGTGAGATTCGTGCTCACCGTGCTGTCCAATTCCGGTGACTTCTCCACCAGTGGCCGCTTGGCTTGCTCCCGCTTTTCGGTATTCTGCAGAAACTTGGCTTCGTAAAACACAAGACCATTCTCATCGTCCGTATGCACATAGGCCTCCTTGATCTGCAGGAAATACTCATCTTGGCGGGAGAGATTATCGGTTCAGCTTCCGCTTCTACCTCTAGCTGCACCTCCTCCTCCTCTCCTTGAGCTGTAAAGAAGCTGTGCTCTGGCTCCGGTGCAACAACTACTGCCCGCGATACCTGCTCCACTAGGTGCTCCAATATTTGACGGCCCGAGCCCGGAGCCTCATCCTGCTGATCCTTGGGCTTCTCCTCGCTGCGCAGCTTCTGCTGCAAGTGCTGCTCATAGTTGAAGTCATCCTGGCTCATGGCCTCCTCCACAAGGGCCTCCACATGCTCGTCATACTGATGCAGCAAGGATTGACGTGCGCGTGAGCGTTCCACCTTTTCCCGCCAGCTTTCAATAAGCGACCGTTGCTTGGGATAGTCAGGATCATCGTGCGGGGCCGTCTCCCGCTGGCTCTGTATGAGCTGAGTGAGATGGGCCTCTGTCAAGGCGAACAAGTTAACCGACTCCTCGTCCGGCAGTGGAGGAATTCCTTCTACGTCCGGAAACTTCGGCTGCGGCCGATGCCGCCTGTGGGTGATGTTAATGTAGTAAGGCGACGTTGTGTCATGGTTGTACTTCAACTGGTTAGGAGTCACCGCATCTCCGGGCTGCAGGCGCTGCCGCTGACTCTTCAGGCGCTGTTTCTCACGAAAGATGTGATCCCTCAGCAGTTGCAGCACCTCAAAGTGGCACTCCTCGATGGCATAGTGCACGGGCAGCTTGTTCTCCTCGTCGGCCAGATCTGTACGAGCGCCACGTTCCAGCAGCATCCTTACCAGCTCCTCGCGTCCATAGATGCTGGCAATGTGCAATGCTGTGGTCTTGCCATCGCACAGTGAGTCCACATCGAGGTCGGGGCACTCGAGGAAACGTTCCAGGATGCGGCGGGCCAGCTCGGCATTACGCATCCCACAGACATAGTGCAGCGGGGCCAGTCCCCGTTCGCAGGGCACGATGCCAGCGTTGATGGTGTTCCGCTCCAGCATGGACATGATGTCCGTTTCGTTCTCATCCTCCAAAGCGTCCAGCAGGGTCAGTGCCAGAAAGTTTGCCCGCTGCTCCATCGCTGCTGCACTCAAATCGATTTTTCGCCATGCAATTTCCTCGCTCTAATTGCAGAAATTAGTTGTTATTCTCCTTTTTTTTAATTCTCGATTTTTCAATGTCAGCGCTTTTGTTGTTGTTGTTTTCGCGTTGGTATTTTATCCAAGTGTGGCCGTACTTTTGGTATGCAACTGCAGCGCTGCCAGATGTCTGGAATCTAATTGGTACTTTTGAGCGCCACATTTGAAACCGGTTTTTTATGATTCCAAGCAATTACCATTGGATTTTGTTTTTTTGGCTTTTGGCACATAATTAGCCTGCAAAGCACGCCCAACGCGATGAGCAGCCAGCATTATCGCGCTCTGAGAGCGCAACACGTGTGACTACATACACATATTTTTCAGTTTTAAATGAATATTTTTTTTTTGCTCATGAAATCGAAACTAGTTTCCCGCCGCCGCAGACGTAGCCGTCGCTAAAATGGGGCCCAAGGTTACGGTTACTCGGCCCCTTGTTATGCGATAGCGCTCTGAGGTCTCCTCTACGCTAGTATTGTTGTTGCCGCTTGGAGGCTTTATTTTTTGCGTGGTCTTCGGGGTTTGTTAGTAAACAAACGTAATGATTAACAAAAAATAATAATAATATGACGCATACAAAATATTGACTATCTATTGTTGTCTATTCGGGGGGAATATTTAAGGATGTGACCTCATGAAATGTAATTCCTAAAAACCTATTAATTCATTAATTAATATATTAATAATATAATAATTAATATATTTATACTTGAAGCAAGTATAATCAAAGAATTATACAAATGTTAGTTTAAGTAAACAAAGGGTTTTTCAGTTTGTTTTTCTGTTTTACAATCGTAACTTTGTTTGTAAACAATTGCAGTTGTTTGTAATGACGAATAACAACAACAAACCGGTACATATATATTTTTCCAAAAGTCAAGAGTGCAATCCAGTTCGTTCCCATCAAAAACATTACGTTGAGTAAGCAATTGCATCTTAACAAGTGAATAAAATAATAAAGCAAAGTCAAAAACAATGGTCGAGCTCAAAACAAAAACAACCTGGATCCAATAGATACATATCTACACATTTTTGAATCTTTGTTCTTTGAGATACAAAGATAGTTATTTGAAATGCATTTATAGATTTTTTTTAAATATAATAAATATAAATAGTATTTCTTTAGTTTCTTATATACAGTGAATACTGTTCTAGATTTCTGTATCACGTGATTGCAATGCAAACATTTCGCAAATGAATGCATAGTTATTATTATAAATAGGCACTATTGTTCTGTATTTTTAAGAACACAACAAAGAAACCCCTACGCAGCACTTAATTTAAAAACAAATTAAGAATAAGATGAGTAACGCGTGAATTTTTAGCACTGCTGCATCACGTGTTTGCCCAACTGATGCCTTGTGGTCTGTCCAAAGCCCAGCCCCCTCTGAGGCGGGCAGGGGGAGGGCTCGAGCAAAAGTCAAAGGAAATGCCCGTTTGATAATATTGATTTGATTATTTTTGTTATGTTCAAGCGTTCTGGCGTGCATTCACCTGTGCGGACTAATTGATTTGTTTCTGATTAGAGAGCGTCCGCTTTCCTCTCTCTCTCTCCCCCCTATCGCTTTCTGATAGAAGCTTCTTTGTTCTCTTTCGCTTCATGACGCTCATAGTACATCAGCTGCCCGTTTTTATTGCAATCGTGTTCTTTTTTCCCCCATTTTCGCCATAAGTGGAAATATTGATTATATTTGCTGCTATTTGCTTTATTATTTTTTTTTTTTTTCGTTTTAGCAAGCAAGAGCGAGGGAGATAGCAGGTGCGGAGATGACACTTGCCCTGAAGTAACGGTACGCTAAGATTTGCATCTCTTATTTTTTTTTGTTACTGTTAATACGAAAACATGACATCAGCTGAGCGAAAATAATCGAAACAGTGCATAAGCGAAACTGGTTAATTAAGCCTGAGATTTTGAGGCTGTGTTTGTGAGTGTAAACAGTAGAGGTAACAATTTTAGGGATAGATAATGGTTAAACTTGACTATAAATATATCTATTTTCATTTTGTTTATAGAAATGTAAAGAACAAAACGAGCCCAATTATTGGGTTAATAAATCCGTACACTCAATTTAAAAAAATTAACATTTGTATACATTTTTGAACATTTTCTTTAAACAATTTTATAATTATAAAGATTATAAAAAGCTAAGCAATTAAACTCTATTTGCATGAAATGCTATAATTCTCACGCGCAGCTTTATAAAGCTGTTTGCATTGGCGAATCGCTCGCTGTCAGCTGTTGCGCATTATACACGCGAATGTGTGCCAGTTGTGCGTGTGTGGGTGCCTTCAAGAAAGACACTGGCCAACAAAGAGAGCGGACTCGAATGTTTGTTTTGTTGCTGCGACCAGTGTTGGTTAATCATTCACTCTTTAGGCTTCCTGTTGGATAGTGTATGGCGGTTATTACCACAACCCACCCACCCTCGCCTCACCCCAAGATAGTGTATTTCATAATAGATGTATGTATGCATGTCATTGTTATTGGAACTGCTTGTTTGCATGTTCTAATAAACTATATACACATATGTATACAACAAATGACGCCAATTCACGCTCACCTAAACACATACAAACACACTCCCACAAACATGTCAGACAGTTACAGTTGAGCTATTAACAAGACAACCCCCTTCCCCTTCTTTCTCCACCAGCTCATCCTCAGCAGCTGTTTTTGCCTTGTTTATTCATCAAGTTTGTGTCGATTTTTGTATCTCAATTGTTGTTTTTTTTTTGCGCTGGTTTGACCTTCCTGGCTGGAGCCCCCAAGGATGCCCCGCATTTGTTGCTACTTACGTAAAGTCCTGGTTGAAGTTCAGCTGATATGTGGCCATGATTGCTGGGGGTTTTCTCCTCCTTTTGCTGATTTTAATCTCTATATCTCGGTTACACTTTCACTGGCCTTTGGCTTGTATCTATTTTTTTTCTCTCTCGATGTATCTTATTGCACTTTTTCACCGTTCGCTGGGAGCGAAACACAAAAAACACACAGTACTACGCAGGCGGATGAGCAGAGCGAAGTGTTCGATTCGATTTCTGATAAATTAAATTCGTTTTGTTAGCGTCGGTTGTCTTTGTTGTTTTTCTGCGACTGTTTTTCTGTTTTCTCGTTCTATCTATCAACAAATTCCCCCTACACACACACACACTCGAACCTCTGGCTCTTTGGAACCAGTGCTCGCTCACGTCGAACTAGTCAGAAAAATACCGTAAGTACTTCGTAACGGATATTATGTAAAATGTAAAGGCGGAGCAAAATACCACGCTTAAAATGTGTGTAAAAAGTGGTGTAAAATAAAAAATGCTAGGAAATTTGTATAAACTCAGAACAAAAAGTTTATATATAAGCTTATCATGAAGGTTTCATAGTACATAGTAAAATTTTATTTTTATGGATCTTTCTGTGGGTTAGCCCGTATTGCACAGCGATGACAATTCAGTCCGCGAAAAAGGACACCCGGGCCACAGATTAATACATCCTACAGCTTCGTTACTAAAGATGTTTTCGTATCTGCCTAAAACAAACAGATTAAATCATTTTAGTTAATTGATACAACATAAAAATAAACAACATAATTGAAATTGAGTAAAGTATTATTTAAATTTCCAAAATAATTTATTTTTAAAACGTCCAAGAAGATCTAATTCTATTAACAATTTATTTTACATACTGTAAATATACCAAAAACTAGTTCTTCCAACTATGAGAATGCCAACTTGCTCGTAATATACTACTAAGATTCAGTATTTTCAGGCAACGTGAGTACAGCCACACTGAAGGTCACAATAGAAAAATAAAGCCTTTTTCTTTTGTTTTAAACTTCGATTTTTTAATGTAAAAACGCCTGCTCATAAACCACAAATATGCACAATCGACCGCCCGCAGTGCTGTGCAAGCCGAGTGCTTAAAATTCGGACAAATGTCGTGTGTTTTCAGTGCCAATTGTGCGGTGTTTTCAGTGTAGTATACAACTTTTTGTGTCTCTACGAAAATTTTCTCCCGTTCTGGGGACGCATGAAAAATGGCGGCGTCCTCAGCTGCGGCTGCGGCGACCACAGTTCGATTCCAAACCCAATCCCAGTCCCGCTGCCCACGGAGGCAATATCGGAGGATGCAAGGATGACGACGCCCTCAGCTCCACACTCCACACGTGCGCCAACGATCCGGACTTTGCGGTGATTTGTGCCTTCCTGCAGAAGTTCGCCAAGGACTTGGGCCTGAATGTGCCGAATTTCAAGCATTTGCAGGAGTGGCTGACCAACAATGATGAAGGTGAGTTCCCCAGGCGGCTGGTGTCCACTCCGCCTAGCGTGGCAAGTGTTTGAAAAGGGATAAAAGAAACGAGTTATATTGAGTTACATACAAAAAATATTATGGCAAAGCAAAAATGAAAATCTGGGAAAATTGTGTTTTCAATTGGCTTTGCCAGATGAGAGAGTGAGAAAGAGGAACTCTCTCGGAGAGCTCTCTCCGGTTTGTTTGTGGTGGTAAGAGATGAGAAAAAGAGAGAGAGCTAGCAAAGAGCGAATTTTATTTGTTGTATTTTCAACAACACAAACAAAACCGTGAAACTTGTTTTGATTTATTTGTTTTTAATTGTTAAATTGGTGAAAATATTATTATTAATTATTAATATTTTCATTATATTCCCATTAGGTGAATTTTTCTTAGTGAGTAATATATTTTTAAATTTTATTTTTTTAATTTTACGTATTATCGTTAATATATCGTTTTCTGCAGCAATAAGAATGAAACACATCTTTTTTTATCCATTACATTGTATTGAAGTAATATTATTTCTCTTACAAATAATAATTAATACTAGTTGTAAATTGAATTGTTTTAAGTTAAATTCTTATTGTTCATAAATTAAAATAGTTTCAATTCTAGCTTAAGCTTAAAAGATGTTTTCACAAAGGTTCTCCATATTTTATGTACCATTTGTTACCCAAAATTACAAGTTTATTAATTCATTAACATTCCCTTCCTTACAGTTCCCGAACTGAGAGACCTGCACATTAAACTGCTGCGAAAGACCCGTAAGACGGTCCACGAGAAGAGCTGGGAGTCGGCCCTCAGCAAGTTCTGTTTCGGTTACTCGGTCCAGGATGCCTGGGAGATCGAACGTTTTGGCTACAAGAACTCCAGTCTTAAGGTCAAGCTGCGGATTTTTCGTGTAAGAATTGCTACTAATGCCTCATTATGCCTTTACTCACCCATCTCTATCCTGCAGGAACTCCTTGAGAGCCAGTTCGAGCGCAATGCCAAGTTTCGTGCCCACATCCTTACACTTAACGCCGACACTCTGCGATCGGAGCCCATTGGAAGGGATCGACTGGGCCATGCCTACTGGCTGACCCAGGATGCCGACTGCAACCTGCGCATATACCAAGAGCACCTGGACGAGGAGATCTGGCAGGTGGTGGCCACAAACCGAGATGAGTTTGTCAATCTCATTGCCAGGCTGCGTGGCAATGAGGTAGTGCTACCCTCCAAGGACATAGGTGAGGCTGATGAGGACACCAGTAGTAGCAACAGCTGTCCAGCCAAGCCACCACCTCCAGTGGAAAGGGTGGAGGAAGAGGATGATGATGAAGATGAGGAGGAGGATGAGGAGCGCCTCGCAAAGAGGAGGCGCCAGAAGTAGTGAAAACAGTGCCCAATCTGAAGATTAAACTTCGATCACCCGATCAGGAGGAGCAAAAGGCCAAAAGAGTTAAGGTGATTATCATTATTGTAATCCCGTTTCCGGGGAAAACCTAATAGTATTGTTTTTTCTATCTTGCAGCCCCTGCTCATCAGTCAGGCCAAGCTGGGAGGCAGTTTGTCGCCGGCTCCGGCCAAAAAGCGTTCAATCGAGGACGTAGACAGCAGTCCCACAGCTGCATCGCAGGAGGAGCTCAAGAAGCACCGACCCACGCTGCTGGACACCAAACGTATTAAGAAACCCAGTCGTTATGAGAGCACCAAGGATGAAAACGAAGGTGAATCCGGCGACGAAGAGGAAGAAGGCGACGAGAAGAGGACTCCGAGTTGGATGAGGGCGAAGAGGAGGAGGAGGAGGACATTGACAGTGCGGCAGCTGATATTGAAGAGGATGACGACGATGAGGACGATGAAGTGGGCGAAGCCGTCGAAGATCCAACTGTGGTGGTCCGCGGCGAGGGATCCGGACGCGAGAATGAGGCTATTCCGGATAACGATTCACTCTCCTATAACTTAAACTACGAGGACAATCTCGAGTTTAGTGAAGTCATTGAAGATCCTGTGTTCTATGTCTTCGGTCAAGGTAACGGTGCCGATTGCCTTGTGGTAATGGTCAGCACGAAGCTCCAGCAGAAGAAACTACCTCGACCAAGTCCGAGCCCAAGGCTACATTCTTCTTCGGCGAGCCGGGATGCCTCAAGTTAAGCCCCATGAAGCAAAACCCTAAGCCAGAGGCGAAGCGCAGCATTTTCGACAGCCTAGACGGTGAGGAGAAGACCAATGGGGACAGCCAAAACTCCAGGGAAGAGACTCCACCGCGGAATGGCAGTGAGCTCAAGGAGGGTCCATCGACTACTGCTGTTGCTGTTCCCAGCGAAGAGAAGCTTGATGACCAAGTAACTAACGAAACGACAATCTCAAAAGAAGCAGGGAGCGAAGAACCCAAGTTACCTGCAAAGGCAGATCAAGAGAACAATGTTAGGATAAGAATACGGAAATCTCCAATACGGCAGAAGCAAAAGAAGAGCTGGTCACGAAAACAAAGGACATATTCTGCAAAGTAAATCAGAAATTGATGAAAATCATCTTCTACCAGGTAAAAATTAGTTGAATCAAGTTACTAATATTAACATTTCTAGTCGCAATCTAACTTTTTGTTTACTTTGTTTTCAGTTAAAGGCAGCAGCTAAGAGTTCTGAGGAAAAGCCAGACCCCCAAGAATCAAGTCAAGAAACCGAGAGTGCAAATGGCCCAATACCAAACGAAAGTAAATTGGATAAGGAGGACAAACCTCTGGAGACCAATCAGGAGAAAGCGGAGTGTAGTGCAAGAAGAAGTAGCTTAAGCAATGACAAAGTTTCGACTGCAAAAGAGCATCCAAGGAAACCAAAATAAAACGGAAACCGAAACTAAATTGGAAACAATAAGCCACACTGAAACCATTAAACCTGAAACCAAGACTCAAGATACAAAATCGGTTAAGGAATCCATTGAAGTTAGTAACAAGCCAGAAACTTTAGAAAAAACTGCTGATAGTGTCAAAAAAGAGAGTCAAGCGAGCTTAAAGCCGGAATCCCCAGATAATTCTACTAAAATAACGTCAGTAAATCTGTGAATGACGAGGCTAAGCACTCCGATCTTGGTAGAGATCAACTAAATCAATACAAGCAGCACTGAAACTATGACCTCTACCGAGGAAGAAAATCTAAAGAAAATTGAACAAAACGAAGTGCCCAGTGCTTCCCCAGACTTGATTTCTAAGGATAAAATTGATACTACTAAAGCAATGGAGAAAAGTGCCTCCGAACCAAGGCCCGATGTAAAACCTATCGAGGCTAAACCTCCACCTGCACCGCCCAATAGAAAGCGTCGTCTTAATGACTGCCAGCCTGCTCCTAGAAATTCTACTTCCGAAAGCGAAGTGCAGGAAGAGGAGCTGCATCAAAACCAAGACGAGGACGATGCTGCTTGGATGACCTAGATGTTGGTGGCAAGCGCATAAAGATGCGTCCTAAATATCCAACGTGGAGGTCAGGCGCAAAGTGGAGGCTCAGAAGACACAGATCGAGGAGACGACATCTTCCAGCGGAGAGGACGACCCGCGCAGTCGTCGCAAGATCATAGCTCCGAAAAGACACCTGGATAAGACAACGCCTTCCAACATCAAGCAGAAGCCCACTCTGGCCGAAATTATTGAAAAGAAGCTAAAGAAGACACCGGAAAAGGGAACGCCGGAGAAAGAAGTTGTGGAGCAACTTTCTGAGAAGCAAGCAAAAGAAAAGACTGCTCCGCCGCCGCCGCCAGCCAGAGAAGTCACACCACCTGCCTCCTCCACCAAAAAGTCACCGGTGACAAAACCTCTGAAGAAAATCTGCTTACCCAGCTGCGACAGGGAGATGACAGCGAGGAGGAGGCTATTCCTAGAAAGCGAACAAACAGCGACAATGCCTTGCCAGAAGCGATAAATCCTAATGTTTCCCTTGGAGTTCCTGAAGCATCGCAGCACCGGAAGCGTCGCAGTAGTGAAGAAGCCAAGGAGACCATCTCCAAAGAAGCCTCACCCAATGAAACCTCTCCCTCTGCCATCTGTGAGAAGCTGAAGCGCAACAACGAACAGGACATCAAGGAGGAGGTTGAAACGACAGAGGTGGATCCGCTGGCATTGCCCGCAAAGGACTCGTCGCCGACTTCAGCCAAAGAAGAAGGCTCTACTCCAGAGGGTCTGCAGCCCGTCGCTCTGGACGCCGTGGTGGAGCCGCTGTTGTTTACTCCGAGTTGCCTCAACCCAAAGAACGCGTGGTGGAGCCAAGGAGAAAACACAGCCAGATGCAAAATCAGAGGTAAAGCAGGAATCCGATGATGAAGAGGACAAAGAGGAGGACCAGGAAACCCCTAAAACTCCAGTTAAACCAACAGTGGAAATGAAAAAGGAAGAGCCAAAGGCGAAAACAGAACAAGATAAGTTAGCGGATGAGGAGCAGCCTGTGAAGGAGGAACCCAAAGAGGAGGCCAAGCCCAAGGTGGGTCGGGGACGAGGTCCTCGCAAGAAGCGTGAAGTGGATACCACCAACATCATTGAAGCCACTGACTCCGAGACCCCGGTGCGTCAATCCCGTCGCATTGCTCAGCAGAAGATCAAGGAGGAGGCAGAACGCCGCAAGCTTGAGGAGGTTGCTCTTCGTTCCATGAAGCAGGAGCTCAAGAAAAAGAAGAAGCCGAGAAGGAGGCTGATCCTACAGTACTGGAGCCTTCCGGTGAGGAATCCGAGTCAGAGGCCAGCGAGGCAGCAGAAGAAGAGACGCGAAATAAGAAGAAAAAAAATGCCCCGGCAAGGATGGCTGGTCATCGGACTCCGAGGAGCAGCCTGAAAGCGAGGAGGAAGAGGAGGAGCCACCGCATTACGACACGGACCCCGGCTCACCACTCTTTCGCTCGGACCATGAATTTTCGCCCGAATCCGAGCTGGAGGACGAGTCGCAAGTGGTGCCCATGAAGCGGGCACGTACTGTGCGCAAGGAGAACGCTGAGGAGGAGGAAGACGATGCGGAGGAGGCGTGCCAGGAGTGTGGCAAGTCTGATCATCCCGAATGGATACTGCTCTGCGACACACCCGCTTGCAACAAGGGTACCATTGTTCCTGCCTCTCTCCCGTGCTCTTTTACATCCCCGAGGGTGACTGGCACTGTCCACCCTGTCAGCAGGAGCAGCTCATCACCGCTCTCGAGAGCCAGCTTCAGAAATTCGATGCCTTGGTGGCCCAAAAGCAGCAAGAACGACGCCTGGCCGAGGAGCAGGCGGAGCGAGATCGTCAGGATCGAGAGGCAGCCGCCAATCTGGCAGCGAATGACAATAACTCGAAGAGGAGAGACAAGGATGATGACGACGATGATGATGAGGAGGAGGACCAGGAGGTGTGCAACAAGGCCGACAAGGTGAAGCGTCGTCGGGGCGACGGACGTAGCAATCGGCGTGCAGCTAAGCGAGGCACCAGGCGTCGGCGCGGTGACGAATCCGCCTCTAGCAATGGCAAATCCGCTGGCAGTGGCTCTGGTCCGGGTCTGGATCTGGTTCTGGCTCCAGCAGCGATAACAGCAGCAGCTTCTCGGATTCGGATGATGAGCCGATCTACAAGCTACGCAAACGGCGCCAGATCAATGTGAGCTATCGCCTCAACGAATACGATGACCTCATTAATTCGGCGCTAAAGAAGGAAATGGATGAGGTGGCCGGTGCTGGGAATCTCGGACGTGGCAAGGATATCTCCACCATCATCGAGGCGGACAAGGAGAAGGCACGACGCGAAGATCAGGAATCGAAGGAGCCTGCACCGGCGGCAAATGAAGCTAACAACGAGAATGAGAAGGAGAAGAAGCAAAAGGAGAAATCCAAATCCAGTGGCAGTGGCAGCTCATCCTCCGACGATGAGGTACTCTCAAGCGAAGCAACAAATCCACGAAGCAGCCGCCGGCCAAAAAGAAGCCTCGCAAGCTAACCACCTTGGATGTGAGCAGCGAGGAGGATCACGGCAGCGATGAGGACTTTAAGACATCAGCTACTCGGATGAGGACACCTCACAGTCTGGTTCCGGTGACTCGACTCCAGCCTGGAGGTATACAGGCGACCTGGCAGAGGGAAGAAGCAACGGAAGGCGGCCAGAAGAGCGGCCCGCGAGAGACGCAAGGATCGCAAGTTCGTGGTCGAAGAGAGCGACGAGAGTGAGGAGGAGGTGCAGCAACGGCGGAGCACCAAGTCCAGCAAGAAGAAGAAGAAGGAGGACTCTGACTACACGGAAACGGAAACCGATGACGACGAAAACGGTTCGGAATTGTCCGAGAACGTGGACAGTGCCGATCTGTGCGACGACACGACATCTGAAAGCGATGACGGTGCCTGGCATCCCTCCAAAAAGAAGAAGAAGGCGGCGGCTGCTAAGAAATCAGGTTCTTCGGCAATAGCCAGGAAATCACCCAAGTTGAAGAAACCCGCCAGTCAGCCAGCGAAGAAGGTCAAGCGGTTGGAGTACTCCGACGATGACATCAGTGAGAGTGAACCTGAAGAAGATGAGGAGGATGAAGAGGACGATGATGGTGCACCGCTGTCGGGCAAGGGTTCCGGCAAGCAGCCACGCTCTCAACCCCTCAAATCCAGTGGATCTCGGCGGCGCAGTCGGCAAGGGAAAGGGCAAAGGCAAGGCCAAGAAGAAGAAGGCAGCATCCTCCTCCGATGAGGAGGAAGGTGTTGCATCCGATGATCGCACCCGAACACGTGGACGTCGCTACGCTTATATCGAAGAGGGTGAGTTATAAATAAATACAATTTCTCAAGCATTATTTATCCAAATTAAAACATTACAGATGACGATAGTTCCGATGGCGGCATTAAACCCGGTGTCCATCGTCCCGACACACCGCCTGAGGAGCGACAGAAGTTCATCCAACGGCAGGAAGAGATCAAGCGAATGCTGGCCGAAAAGAATGCCGAGGGAGCCAAGCTGGCAGCCACTCCCCGTCTAACGCCCATTAAGTCAGGAGCTGGAGGAACTGGTCCAGAGAAGCGTACGCCCGGCAAGGCCACTGGCGCCGGTGGCGATTCACTGTCCACTGTCCCACTCTCGGTGATACGGCAGGCGAAGGTGCTGGATATCGACTACCTGCAGCGCAAGGGTGAGACTATCGGTGACCTAGACGACGTGGATGAATCGGAGCTGGATGATGCAGAGCTACCCGATGACCTACCCGAGGACATTGGGGATGCCATCGCACGCATGGTGGAGGAGGAGGAACAGTTTAGTGCCGCTGTGGCAGCCCGAGAGCTACCCGGAGCCGAGGAAGTGTTGCGTACCACGCCCTCCAAGTCCAAGCAAGCAAGCAGAGCGGCTCCCGAGGCAGCTGTTCCACCTCCCAGTGCATCGGGACTGCAGGAGCCACATCGCAAGCGTTTGCCCATGCCCACCATGCATCCGCCGCTGCTCCGTCACCAGTTCCCTCTGTCCGTTAGTCAAGCACATCCGCCAGCCTCACTCCTGCCACCTCAGCCGCCGCCACACGGAATGCATCCCATGCTGCAGCGTCATCTGTCGCAGGCAGTCCCGCCTCCTCAAGCCATGCAGCTGCTGCAGAATGCATTGTCCGCCCCACTCGGACAGCCATTAGGACGGGCTAACTATTCACCCGGACCTCCAACAGCTCAGCATCTGCCGCTGGTTATGTCCATGCCATCAGCTGCGGCGGCGGCTCATCTAATGCAATCTGCGGCCGCCTCAGCGGCAGCACGCCCACCCGATGGCGGAGCAGCTGGAAATCCCACAGCCGACACTAAGCCACGTGGCAGACGGAAAAAGGTCACACCGCTCAGGGATCAGTTGCAGAAGCAACAAACGGCGGCAGCTGTCGCAGCAGCCACATCATCAACGGTGACTCCGCCTACAACAGTTCCAGCGGAAAAGTCAAAGGGACAGCCCCAGCCGCTTTTTAAGCCGCACGAGGATGCCCCTAACGCTCCTCCCGGAGCTCCCAACGCCTCGCAGGCCTCTGTGATTACCCGTATGCCCGCACACCTGCCCCTACCCCATGGACGTGGACACGGACAACATGGTCACGGCCCGCCTGCCGGCATGTATCCCAGCAGTGCGGAGTTGGCTCGCTTCTATAGCCAAGTGGCGGGACAACCGCCACCTGTGTCTGCTACCTCTGCTGGATCACGCTCTCCTTCGTCATCGCCTGGACCACCGCGTCACCTTCTGCGTCCACAACTACCGCCTGGTCTTCCGCCACCACACTCAACCCTCCGGCCCACGTACGGACCACCGCCGCCACTACGGGGATCCGGACCGCCCACATCGACGGCCAGCGGTGGAGGAGCGCCAAATACACGTCCACCTTACCTTCATGGTGCGGAGCACCACGGCGGACCTTCAGGACCACCCATGGGAGGAGCCTATGGCTCTGGACCACCACCAGCACGTCATGCATCACCCCACTTGAATCCGTACAGGTGAGTCAGCAAAGATTTGTGTGGCACGAAAATGTGTTTGACGTTTGAATCGGTTTCCAGAGCACCACCTATTTATGGCAATCCCAACTATCCGCCTCGTGTGGGAGGAGGACCTCCAGGACCTGGTAATATGCGACCTGGATCAGTGGATTTTGCGGCAGGAGCACGTAAGTGACTTTATTAATCTTATACGGCTTGAGTCGCCTCTAAATAACAACTTTAAATATAATCCTTCTTGTCACTTCCAGGTGGATATCCTCCCTATGGCTACTATCCCCCGCCACCACCACTGACCACGCCGCCTTCCCAAGTACCGCCCAATTCGGTGATCGTTAGTGTTCCGCCATTGGTGACACCCACCAATCACTCGGTGTCTGCTTTAACACGTGCAGGCAAAGCACCACCGCCGTCAGGACCTCCGCCTCAGAGTGCACCAACTCTGCCACCTGCTGCAGCAGCACCCGCAGCACCTATAATCACTGATAAACCAACGGCTGCAGCTGCTTCCGTGATAACAAGTAAAAAGCTGACCACCTTGGGTGCCTATCCCATCAGCAAATCCCCGCCAGCTGTTGGGGGCGAGGGTCCAAGGGTAGCAGGAACCACAAATTCACCGGCAACCATTGCCGAAGATGATTCGGGATCGGCTCATGACACAACAGTGCCGCCAGCTGCCACGGGAGGCACTGCGGTGGGCGAGTTTAGTGGCTTGGTGAGCTACTTTAGCTCGCAGCAGGACGATTATGACACATAACAAACGCCGGCGGGCGCCTAAAGGGAGAAAAACTGTAAATATATGTAGTAGCTGATATCTGTAATTAAGGATTAAAGAGTACTATAAGTAGGGTAGTCTTTGGACAACCAGCAGCTAGAGTTGTTCGGAGATTGCATTGCCCTCTGTAGGGCGGAGCTTAATATCCTGCTTTAGGCCACTTATCGGAAATTTACTCCCGCAAAGCAATTTAGAAGGAAAATTAATTTGACAATTTTGTTTAGTTTAAAGCAAGTGGAGTTATACTACGTTGTATAATATCTAATGAGCTGATTTGATTGTTTTATGTTGTATAGAAATTTTGTTTTTGACCAGCGACAGACATTTTCCCGTTTAAGTAATTAATTTATTTACCTATCCCATAACTTTTCTGTGCTCTTAGAGTTCTTAGCTAAAGCAAAAACATCAACTACATCTAGTATTCTAATTTTAGATGTATATTTTATGGGAATTATAGCGAAAGGCGCATAAGTTATCTATGATACATACCATTAATGAGTACTAAACTATAAACGAATAACACCCTAAACATAACGCAATGTAAACTAACGATAGTTCGAGTAATAATGAACCCCTCACTAAGCAATTGGAATATGAGCATGCAGTGCATATTACAAAAACAGTTAAAACTACCTAAAAACCATTATTAACATAATGCAAATGGTATACTAAGATCAAAGATGGGCAAAACACACATATTATATATATATTGATAATAAAAATATTTATCATTAGTTGCAAATATTACAAATTAATTGAGTTTTAATTATATAATTAGATATAATGGGGGTTCTTTTCTCAGCTTATTTCAAGAAGAATGTTTATGTTCTATAAATAAACCAGAAGTAGAAAGTTATACTCATTGTGCTTTTATTGTTTGATTTAATTTCATAAATATTTATTTATTTACAAAAACCCTTAATAAATAATGAATTAAATTCAAACTAGCTTAGAGAGGTTAAGCTAACATATTCAGCAATTCAATTTATAGCCTCTGCAAAAGTCTTTGACGCGTGTTTCAGGTGAAGGTTATAAGAAAGTTGAATCTAAAATTCGCAAATCGAAATGTTTGCCAAAAAAAGTGAAAACTATTTATGAAAATGTCAGCAGCAGTTGGCAATATGCTTGAATAGTTTCATTTGCATAAATTTAATGATAGCATTTGCATAACGATTATTCAGATCAGCTTGCTCAGATGATATGTTGAATTTAACGATATATTAAATAGTTAAAAACACCCATTTAAAGCAATTCATACTTCTTGATATTCTAATTAGCAATATACAAAGTAAATGGATTTATTACAATCATAATTATAAACGAATTAATTATCGTTTGATTAACTACAGTTAAATCATGAAAATAAACCTGAATAAGTCAAATTCCTCATTAGTCTGAATTGCCATTTTCAACCTTACTTAATTGTTGGTTCATTGACAACTTTACTTTAGTGATCATCGATAAGTAGGATAGCAAATAGTCCGTTTGCAGTTAACGCTAAGTGCTAAATAATAACCAATTCATTGCCAAATAGCAAATGCAGTAAGCGAATTTCGTGTGCTAAATGAATTCCAATTCATTGCGAAATTGTAGTAAATAGTATCTAAATCTAAAGATAGTAGTGACCTTTAAAAAAATTCCCAGATGCTACATATCAATTGGTAAATATTGGATATGCTTTCTTCAAAATAATTATATATTTTTTCTTGTTCCGTGTCAAAAGTCGAGCCAATCTAGATAAGTCTATTTGTCTTACTGCCTCTATGTCAACTTATATTATTTAAATAGCTTAAAAGCGGATAGTTTTCGAAACTATATTTATCATTTGCGAATTTATTTTATTCGAACTGCGTCTATCAATATTTTGCTATATTTTTGGTCCACTGGAATTATATCTAATAATGTCTTTTAACATCTAAGAAATGTATCCTTAATTGGTTACTTTTCAAAGTATTTTAAGTTGATCATAAATAACTTTCTTAACATTTGAATTAAACTTTGAATTTAATTTGTAATAAATCAGTAAATTATTTTCTATAGCTTTTATAGGAAAGATTAGATAAATACCTTCTTGGAGAACTGCGAGATCATTCATTATTCGACTATCTTTCTTATTTTTTAACCATATTCCCAGAAAACCACTAACACCCATTGAACTTGAGGACTTGAAGATCTCTTAACCGATCTTCAGATGGCCAAATTTGAAGATTTCTCATCTGTGCCTACTACTCATAAGATACTTTATATATATATTTATATATATAAAATTTAAGTGTGATCTGAATGGACCCTCTTAGCAAAAGGTTTTATGGCCTGACACACCTGGGGTCACCTTTGTATAAAAATCTGCCTCAAAGTTGGACCAACATTTTTTTTTTCTTTGCCAACTGTTATGCGAATTCGCCAATGTCACTCTTTCACCCGACTTTATGGCGCTGGATTTAAATATCTAAAGGCAGACGAGGGGATCGCGCAACACTTGAGCGAGACGATCGTTGGAGCGATCCACTTGCAATTAACAGCCTCTTGTGTTTACATTTTAATAATTTTTTTATGTTTATTTATTAGCTAAAATCTCAACGGGAACTTTGCGTAACAACAAATATTCAACAACAATGGACGCGAATGTCCGCTTGTTAATTTAACAAGCCGTCCGCGCGCCAAATGGCAGTGGCTCTCTCACTGGTGGTCACCTGCTACCCTGGCCCACTTAGAAGCGGAAACGCTTGGCAGGCACATTGTACTGGTATCCAGACTCCACGGGTGCGGGTGCGGGGGCAGAGTACACGGGAGCAGGAGCTGGTGCGGAGTAAACGGGAGCTGGGGCAGGGGCAGAGTAGACTGGAGCTGGTGCTGGGGCTGGGATGTCATGGACGGGGGGCAGGTACTCAGGAGCTGGGGCAGGAGCAGAGTAAACTGGAGCCGGGGCAGGAGCAGGAGCAGAGTAGACTGGAGCTGGAGCAGGAGCAGAGTAAACTGGAGCTGGGGCAGGAGCAGAGTAGACTGGAGCTGGGGCAGGAGCTGGGATGTCCTGGACAGGGGGCAGGTACTCGTTAGCTGGAGCTGGGGCAGGAGCGGAGTAAACTGGAGCTGGGGCAGGAGCAGAGTAAACTGGAGCTGGGGCAGGAGCAGAGTAAACTGGAGCTGGGGCAGGAGCAGAGTAAACTGGAGCTGGTGCTGGGGCAGGGATGTCCTGGACAGGGGGCAGGTACTCAGGAGCCGGGGCAGGTGCAGAGTAAACTGGAGCTGGAGCAGGAGCAGAGTACACTGGAGCCGGGGCAGGAGCAGAGTAGACTGGAGCTGGTGCAGGAGCAGGAGCAGAGTAAACTGGAGCTGGGGCAGGAGCTGGGATGTCCTGGACAGGGGGCAGGTACTCAGGAGCCGGGGCAGGTGCAGAGTAAACTGGAGCCGGGGCAGGAGCAGAGTACACTGGAGCTGGGGCAGGGGCGGAGTACACTGGTGCCGGAGCTGGCGCAGAGTAAACCGGAGCTGGAGCCGACGGGATGTTGAAGGTCGGCGTGGGCTTGTTGTAGTTGTAACCACTGCCGCCCAGGTTGAGGTGGGACACATCGGCGGAGGCCACGGCAATGGCGCACACAGCGAAGACGAAGAGTTTCTGAAAGGCACGGATGGAGATCGATTAGCGAACGGGAACGGGATGCTAGACAGGCGAAGGTGAGCCGGCGGTCGAGGTCGGCGGCTATCTTGATCGATGTGCCGCCGGATCGAGCTGAGAACCGCTGGCCAGGCACCAGGTACACTCACCATTGTTGTTGATTTGTTGGCGCTGGGCTACGAAGTTCGTTGGATTTGCTTTGGCAAGCTTTGGTCGCAAGACGCTGAAGCTGAATGATGACCAACTGCAGATGGGCCGGCACTTTTATACCAAAAGCCGGGTTCAGTCTCGGTCTCGGTCTCGGCCTGGTCTACAGCCAGTTAGCTGGGTCTTTGCCGAGGGTCTTCTGCTTCTGCCTGTCAAAGTTAAGGCAGGCAGTTATGAGAAGCCGACCATTAACCCGCCTTGGGACGGGAGTTGGTGATAGCCTCAAGCCCCGCAACTCACAATCAATTTAGATTTTTCAATTTTGACTCTAACGATACGATTTTAAACTGATTAAAAAGAGTGTCAAATGTGTGTAATTAAATATACTCGGTTGAAAAATAATTACTTTTCAATTATTAAGTAGAAAAAGATTAATAGAGTAATGTTAAGTACTTAATTGTGCAGCAAAGCACAATCAGAGACTGCCTGTTAGGGCTAGTTTCTACCGAATAAACTCCTTGTTAAGACACATTTGGTTACCGACCGGGTTAATGTAAGAGTTATAAGGCAGGTAACATTAACAGAGACTTAAACTAATCTTAAGTCCCAAATCTTTTTCGACTCGTAAAACACAGCTGATTTTAGACAAATAAATAAAGATAAAGAGCAAACAGGGATTCTAAATAAGTGTTATATTAGTTATATCAGTTATATTATTATTAATAATGTAGCATTTTATGATAATATATATTTTAGTTTAACCTGTAATTCGAACTTTAACTTGACTTTAATTAAAGTAAATAACAGGTACCAAAATATTGTTAAATTATAAGCAACATTTTAAATTTAATTTAAATTCAAATACAAATATATACCACAAGATGATTTACAAATTTCATTAATAAATATACATTTATAGGTGCCATAGAAAATGCAATTGAAATGAAATCAATAGGAAGGCTTTACAAAAGTATGAAATATTTCAATTTATATATAATTTATATTATTATTATACTAACGTATCATTAAATTAGTTTAAAATTGACAGCAAATTTGAAAGAAAAACCCAAATAAAACGTTGCCTGTGAATAACCCCTTTGGCTCATCCAAGGGTTAAACCCGGCGGCTCTCACCTTCTCACCTGGCTTGTGCGCCTGCGTGGCCGCTTACCGCTTACCGATCGCTGCTATCGGTAGATTTGGATGGGTTTTGCAATGTCAATAGGGCAGCAGCTTGGCTGCCGAGCGGATGGGCACGGGACACGCCAACACGCATTTGCATTTTTACATTCGGATGCGGGGGCAGTCACTGGACACACACACTCACACACACACCGCTTGAAGGGCCGGCGGCTAAGGTCAGGGGTCAGTTGATCGAGGCACTTCTCAGATGTGCGGTTGGCTTGAGGAAATTCGTCTTGTTTGACTATTAGCCGGTGCTAATGGCCAAACTACACGCTCGGCCAAGCGCAGCTTGTCCGGCTCAAGGATGCCCGGCTCGTAGCGTAGCCTCAGTGAACTTGTAACTAATGAAAACGGAATGAAAAAGCCAAACAGAGAGGCGTCTGCGGTGGCTTAATTAATTTGAATATTATTTAGGGTCTGGGCCCCGTGTAAAGTCCCCCGAAGCTGAGCGTTTTAATTGTGGTCTTAAGGGCATTAACAACCAATATACTATTTTTGTGGGGTTTTTTTTGTCTGGGCCGCTTTTGCCATCTTTTTTTTGCCCAATCGTGAGGTGGCACTTTTCCCGCTCGTCAACACCTTGTTTAGGTATTGTATCGATGTCAATATGAACTGAGAAAAAAAATTGTGTAATTTGTAAATAAATTTAAAATATTTAAAGGCAAATCATACATCAGAAGAAATGGCAGATAATTAAATGAAAAAATATTTATATCACAATAAAGCTGAAATAAATTAGTTTATAAAATATCACAAATCTACCTTAGTTTTATTATAATATTTTTATATAATTTCATTCACAAATCTATAAAACAAATCTATATAAAAAAGTAATAAACAAAAGACTGAAATTTGCATATTTATTAATCGATTGTGTCCATTGAATTGAAGTATTTATCATTGATAATTAATAAAAAATACAATAAAACAAAATTAATTCAAGCTGCTTCTTATTATTCGAATTCGATTATCAGATTTTCGAAATATCATTTCGATGTGTCACAGATACAATTTTCTTTACAATATAATACTTTTTTTTTGTTGTGTATTCGACCTTCCCAAACAGCAGCGACAAAGTGTCTGCGTTTTGTTTATTGTTGTTTAAAGCTAATCGAAGCTCCTGCATATTGGTTAATTTTTAATGCTTAAATGCAGCGGCTTGAAAGCATATCTAAACTCTAAACGAAATCAATTCATAAGGTGTCGCGAATTTGCTTAGCCTACTTTAAGAGCATCGAATTTCATCTGCAGACTTGCAGATATTTATATATTTATTTATTTTTGCAAAACTAAGAGACAGATGGTCGGCACAAGAGGCGTAATCCGTTTTAATTATGCCATTTAAGAGGTTCAAACAGCAACAACCAGCATCGAATTCGACAAAGATGATCATGGCTTGCATAAAAATTTATTTTCTCGGATGCCTTTTGCCCCCAGGTCTCACTTAATTAACCAATTAGCTAACCATATTCAATGAAACAAATACAAAAATAAAATCGACTTAAAACGTAAGCCAATTTCGATGGCTGTACGCCCAGAATGCTTTTTGTTAATCTTAAGGATGATTAAAATCATAAAATTAACATATGGATTGCAGGCCTCACACATTTGCATATATGAGCCATTTATCATCTAAAATGTTTCCCAATAAATAATGTAAAACCGGCGGCCAGCACCAATATGTTTGACTTTAATTAGCCAGGCGGTTTGCTTACCACAAACGGCGATCAAGCTTAAACGGTGAAGCTTTCGGCCATTTGAAGAGAGCTTTTCCCAGCCAAGTTATTAATGTCTTTATTTTGTGACGCTATTTTGGCAGCAATGAAACTAAATGATTGACTTTAAAAGGCCTGACCCAGTTAGGCTATTTCCGGAACAAGAGAGTAATTAAATGATGTGTAAAGTGCCAAGGAAATATATAAATACATACTTCATAAATTATAAATAAATTAGACATGACCAAATGAATAATTTGAGTATAATAAAATGATGAATATGGAATATGAAATTTATAGGTGCCTGGTTAAAATGGAACTGGTATAGCGTATCTTAAAACATATACAACTAACGAGAATCCACTTTTCTATTTTCAGCATTTCACAAACTACACCAATATGAATTTTTAAATTTAACGGCTTATTTTTTAAAGTACGAATTTTAGCGGAGTTGAAAACGCCATCTAGGAGACGGCTACGGTTTGTTCCTCGGAGAGTGACCAGTTGTCGTATTGTCAAAAATACCCGCCACAGTTCTATCGGCGTTATTAAGCGCCAAAACCAGCTCTGGAAGCAGTGATGCCAACCTTTGCTTTATAAAAAAGCTATTCCGGCTAATAAGCAAGAAATTGCCAAATTGTTGCTAAAACACAATAAAGATACAACTCTACACACTACACCACCAAATTATGTAGTAGTAGTCAATTTTACACAGTTAAAATTACCCAATTTGGCTCCGAAGGCAACCCAAGTTTGCAATTGAAAACGCTTGATCGTCTGGAAAAATTATAAATCTAATAATAATAATAAATTCATAAAATTTTAAATGTACTTGAGAATTGTGCCATAATATTAATTTTAACATATATAGTAATAATAATTATTTATTTTTGTTATTTGTACAAACAGAGTCTCTTTTAATAGTGCTAGGCGATAAAATAACCTTAAATTTACTTCCTAATTTTGTCATTCTATTCCTTTTCAGAAAGTGTTTATAATAATGATAATAATAATTATTAGTTACTGTGGCTTTATATACCAAACACTGTCATTTATGTATATTGATGATTTATGATGTTGCCTAGATTAAGTTTGAAAATAAACTAAAAATAAAGCAAAATGTACTAAAAACAACATAAACCAAGACGATTTGTTATAATATTAAAATTATTTTATAAAACCAAATCAATTTTTAGGCTTGCACGAAATCCACAGAAAATGTATTTCTTTTCACCGTATGTGCACGTTACTATCGGCAAAGAAAAAATGTCAATATTTGTAGCCATTTTTGTTATAAACTAACACGCTGATGTCACTAATGGAATTATTACTAAAATATGCTATATTTATATTAAACTAATCCATTTTTAAAGCTTTTAAATGGTTGCAAGTTTCATACGCTTTTCAATTCATCGATATTTTCCGAAACTTCTGCTTTGCACTTTTTTCGCTACCAATGCCTTCGGTCACACTGTTTTCATTTCACCCGCAAAATTCAGGTATTATGTTAAAAAACAACGAACTAATTACATTCCTATACGTAGCATTTAAAACAGTCATTAAAATCTGATTTTTAATTTATATTTTATGCTCTCTCTTAATTCACCAGCACCTTTTCTTAAGTCTATTTTTCATTTCACCCGCACTTCTCTTTTAACCTCTCTAATTTTTTAAATTCACCCGCAAAATTCTGTTAACTCTCTTTAGTTGTGTGACCAGTGTGGCAGCCTATTGGCTGTAAATAGCTACTGCTGATAGAAACATCGATGAACATCGAAATCGATGCATCGATGTTTTCATCGATGTTTTGCCTATATATACGAGTGCAAGCGGTCAGAAAAAAAAATTCGTCAAAAATTACGGTACACGAGCAGATCTGCGGTCGAATTTTTTCGTGGCGTGAGTTTTAAACAGTGTAAATACATAAAGAAATAAGATTAACATGCAGTAAATATCACTAGATATCGCCGTAAAGAATAAACAAAAGGCAATGCGCAAGAAAAGAACCCGCGGCACAAATGGTCGCGGAAAACAACATGATATGCTGATTGCTTTTGTAAACAAATGTTTGTTGTGGTCAATCAATCGTAATTAACAACAAAGCAGTGTTGCGCCAAGAGCGTATAATGAGTGAAAAGAGTGGTCAAATGCCGCGGATTCGCCGACAAATTCAGTGCAATTAAGGCTGTGCATAATAAAAACAAAATCCGAGTTTCGAAACCTTTTCTCATTCAGCAAAATCGGGAGAGCAACGTCAAAATTTTCGTGTCACGCCATCTCGCTCGCACCGCAAAGGTCGTTCGTTGCTGCTGCTGCCGCGTTGGTGTGTGGGGACAAGAGTTTGTGTGTGAGTGAGTGCTTTTTGGTTGTGGGGAATATGGAAGAATATACGCAAAATGAAATGCATGAAAACCGAGGCATAAATTAAATGAAAGCTGCATGTGAAAAGCGAACCAAAGCCAATGTTAATTCTCGTGCATGGCAAAAGAATAACGAATGACGAGAGCGCGCAATAAGATAAAATTGAAGGTTATTCTCTGTGCGTGTTTGTACGCGCGGCTGCGAGTGTGTGCGTACTCCATTGTAAACAAAAAAGCAAGTGTTGAGCGAGGGAGAGAACGAAAGAGTGAGAGAGCAGAGCGGAAGAGCTCACTTTGCTAGAGAGAGGGAGCGCGCACGCTCGTTCGCCTACTCGCTCACTCGCACGAAGAAAGCAGAGCACAAAGCGACGCTGAAAATGTCAATAAACTCTGCAAAAGGTGAGGAAAAACGCAACAAGAGCGCCGCTGTCGTGTAAAATAAAACCCAAGCGGCTCGGCTCTCGAAGAAAGCAGAAAGGCAAGTGCAAAACAGAACACGGTGCGTGTGTGTGTGTGTGTGTGTGCTGCTGTGCGAGAGTGTCGGTTCTGATTGGACTGTATGTGCAGAAGAGTTTTTTTCTGGTTTCGCCTTTTGCCTGCAACAACAGCTTCCGCGTTTGCAGCTCCAACAAGTTTCGTCGTTCGTTCCTTTCGCGGCTGCACTTTGTGTTTTTTGTTGTATTATTTTATTGTCCATTCTCGCTGCCGCGTCCGTTGCCGTTCTTAACCCATACAAGTGCGCGTTGCTCACCGGATCGAGTATGATGAATAATTTACCGTTATTAATTCGCAGGTGAAAAATTCAAGTGCAATAATTTTCCCCACTTGCCAATCGTCGCCACGCGAAAGGCTAAGGAGTCAAAGTCAAACAGCAAATTTCCCTCAATAAAAATGTGACAAACTAGATAAAACACAATAATAAAAAAAACATACTAATAGAAAATTAACTGGAACTGCACACTAAAGTTTTCTCAACGACGGAAACTGATTTTTAGGAAAATCCTATCAAACTCTTATTAGACTGAATGTAACGACTATTGGACTACCGTGATTTAATTTTGAAATGGTGAGTTATTGAACTTTTATTCATTATTTTTAATGGTTTAAGGTAGTGATACATTATGTATTTAATTTGTTTTCGTATTTTAACATAATTATTTTTAATCAAAGAACATTTCTTAATTTTGGCAAGTTCTCCTCATTTAAATAATATTTTATACTTTTTTTCGGAAAGCTTTCTGTCAAGGTATCTATTGTAAATTGTATATTTAATGATTTAATATTCTATGTGGTTTAATTTATTAATAAGTTTATAAATCAGTTTTTAAAAAATAATATTTTTACCCATTTTAGTGTACGCTCAGCTGAATATTCTAATTCCTAGACTTTTCTCTATTTTAATTAATTCTAAAGAGACGGTCTCACACTTTTCTCAATATTTTCTAACCGAGCATAGCTAAATTTTTATCATCATGATATTATTTTGTATCTCAGCAAATAGTACTCCATTCCTGAGAAGGAAATCTCCCACACTTGAGGCCTTGGGCTCCCCAAAAGCCCACGGCACTCACCACGAAAAAAGGCCTTTCGAGCCCCTGAAATCAAAACAATTTAATTAACGCCCCAATCTATGGCACACGGGGGAGCAGGGAGGCAGGAGAGATAGGGGGGAAGTGACTGGCCGGGCCACTTCAATTCATAAGCAGTGAAATGTAACGGCGCCGCTGGTCACTTGAACTACTTTCATATGGCGGGGGCTCGAGCTCGGACCCCAAACTTGGTCTGAGTCACCCGCTCGGAGTGCAATTGCAGCGAACGGTTCGAAGAGAAACGAATCAGAGAGAACCAAAGTGCACTGAAACAAATAACAAATTAAAGAACAAATATTTTAAGGAATTTAATAACAGTTGTATAAATTATAATGTTTTCTGTGTTGGCTTTTATAAGGATACTAGCATATTAGGTTTTAATATTTTTAAAATTTAAAATGCTATGCAAATTTTGAAAGTTTTAATGACAAAACTTTAAAAAAATCAATTTCAATTGTTTTATTGGTTATTGATTAAGATTTTGGTTGCAAATAAGAAATATATATGGTTTTTGGCAATCATTGGCTTTTGGTCTTTGTAGACCTTAAAAAAAAACTTAAAATATGAGTATTCTAGGTATCTATTGAATCGATATTTTTATATTCTAATTGTTTTGGTAAATCAAAGTTGTTTAAAAATCATAACTAAGCTAGATTTTATAAGGTTAAAGCTCCCCAAAAACTCCCTGTAGATACATTTATTATTTGATTGATTTGGTTTTTTATCTCAAACATTTTTCTGAGTGCATGCCACCGGAAATCGTTTCGACAACGACTATTGGTTACAATGAATCGGGCCCAAGAAAAAGGAGAGCAGAACGCAGGGCTCGGATCGGGGAGTGCTTTTTGGAGAGGACGGGAGGTGAGGAGGCAGAGGCCGTGGCAAGTCTCTTAACAATATGGCCCAGGCACGTTTTGAACTCTACCACACATTTCTTCTGACGACTCGGGTCTCCGCTCTTTCTGCTTTCGCGTGTGGCTTGACCCAGAAAAATCGAAGACTTGCCAGAGACAGAGTCTTGGCCCCGTAGGTGCTGCCAATTCCACTGATGAGGTTGAGCTTGGATTTGGTCTTCGCCGTGGTCTTGGTACTTGGACTGCGACTGGGTTTCGAGGAGCTGAAGCAGAAGCGGTTGTCTCATAAAACATTTTAAATGTTGGGCTCATTATTATTTTGACTACGTCGGCTTGCGGTTTTTGTGTTTATTGGCTGTTCTTTTTTTCCTCTGACTCTCTGCTGACTGCAGTCCAGTCTTACCTTCTTTTCATTTTGTAAACTGGGTTTATGTGCGGTCCTCGGAGGTTCCCTCTTTTTTTCCCGCATCTTGCTGAAGGTTAACCGCGAGTTTTGTAAGTTGATTGGCTGCGGCCATCGCGTCTGCGCTTGTTTATGTTCTTGAACTCTTTTTAAGTGTTTTGCGGCCTCAAATGTTAATTTACAGCTTTTGTTGTCATAACCTGGGTTAAAGGCAGGTGTGGAGGGGTTCCAACTGACCAGGGACCAGATGCGGATGGATCGGCGGATCGGGGTCTTAATGTGGCGGTGATGCGGTTTTCGAGGCGTGCAACTAATTTATGAACATGAGTATTTGTAATTGACAATGCTTTTTGGTTTTATAAACTGGAAAAACGATTTTTATAAGGATTATTCTAAGGTAAATATATAGGGGGTGGTACAGAAAACACTACGGTTTTAAAATCCTCTAAAAAAGGTCTCTAAAAGTATGAAATAAACTTAATAAGGTACTAAATTGAGAGAAAATGTTTTATTAAACAGATATTATATTATTTAGAATAGTTTTTAAACTACCTTCTTAGGAATTTCAAAGCATTATAACTCCTGTAATTCTATATAGATTTCATGATCAGTATTAATCTATTGTTTTAATATTTACAATGATATTTTAATATTTCCCACTTGAAACTTGTTCAATAAATTATTATTTTCATATTATTATTATTATTATTTATTATAGAACAGTTTTTTGACTACCTTCTTAGGGATTTCAAAGCACTATAAGTCCTCTGTAATTCTATATAGATTTCATGATCAGTATTAACATTACAAACTATTGTTTTGATATTTACATTGATTTCTTAACATTTCCCACTTGAAACTTGTTGAATAAATTATTATTTTCAATTATTATTCTAATTTTTTAGATTTACAATGATTGTGTTACATTTTCCACTAGAATCTCTTCAAATACAACTCTCTTAAACGCTCTTTTCTCCTGTATTATTTCCCAAAATGTCATCACTGATTTAAAAAAAAAAGAGCAATATAAGGCAAAAATATTGTTTTAATATTAAATACTCCTTCGTAGGCTCCATTGCTATGGAGATTATAATTTGTCTGGCCATATCTCATGTCGATCTTGAACTGCCACAACATCGGCGGCAGCAACGACTCAACTATTTTTCGTTCCTACGTCAGTTGAGTGCGATATGCCAGCTGTTAACCGGTTCTTGGATATATGTATATATCTTGGGGCGTTCCAACTGCCATCGATCGCCCCCACTCGCCACCCCCTAACTTACAGTAGATACATAAATTGTTACAAGCTTCAATAGCTTCAACATCCGCCTGCTCCTCCGCCCCGTTGCAACCCGCTGGCTTTGACTCTGACTGCTAATTAGCAGTTAACAATTGCAACATTGACCTCCTCACCATAATTCTTGGCTTATTCTAGGCTCGCACACAAACACAACACGAGGAGAAGACTTTCTGCTTTGTCCCATTGTCTGGGGCGGGAGATTAAACTATAAGATACAATAAACATGGCAGCAGGTTTACCTTGTTGTAACCTCGCCAAAAAAACCTAGGACAGGAGAAGAAGTAGAAGTAGGAAAAGCTAAAGTTGTAGAAAGAAAAGAAGCCATCTTCTACTCTCTCTCCAAGAAAGAGGGAAAGAATTTAATAGTCAGACCAAAAGTAACTTGCTTTTTTATGATTCTTAAATATATTTTTAAGTGCTTGTACTCATTAAATTTATATATTGGTAATAAAGAAAAAATCTAGGTTTCATATAATTAGAAAGTGGGGAATTTAAATTAGTTAAACGATTCATTGCCTATATTTAAATGTATTTTTATATATTAATATATATATTTTTGCTTATATTTAAATTAAAATCAGCACATGACAAAGCACTTAGAGCCTTTATCAATTGCTAAAGTCAAAGATAGCCAAACCTCTATCTTAGGAATCAAATTTTTAACGTTTCATCTTTAAGACTTTAAACTGGGTTTAAGCTTTAATCAGTTTTATATTAATTTGCTAAAGTTATACATTTTAGACTGCTAGTTCTTATTTACAATGTAAAATTAAGAAATTCAATATAACATTTAAGCTTTAAGTAGTTTTATATTAATTTGCATAAATATACATTTTCAAATTGGTGGTTTTCATTTTAAAATAAAGAATTTTTATAATACATTTAACTAACCAAAAATATAGTGTTGATCTTTGTTTATTAAATTTGCATCTCAAGCTTAGTAAAACGCTCTGAAAGAGTATTTAAAACTTGGAAACTATTTGTTAATTCTTTTCCTGTTTTTGGCCAGTTGCAGTTACCAATCGCTGTAGTTGGCCGTCTTGCTGTTGTGCCATTTTTGTTTGATTTTTGCAACTGGCAACTTTACCAATTGCCAGTTGTTGTTGTTGCCTCTTTTTTTGTTTTTGTTTTTGTTTTTATTATTTTGTTTTGTCTATACGTGTCTATATAAACATGATCGCTTTGGCCAATATCTTGGCTCAGTTCGGCTTAGCTCGACTCGGCTTGGCGCTTTTCCGTTGGCGTGTTGGTAGTAAAAAGACGAAAAACATGTTACCCAAATGTTGCTGCTGCTGCTGCTGCTGCTGCTGCTGTTGGGTGCAACACACTGCTGTGCTGCTGCTGATGGTTGTGCAACAATTGAAGGCATTTTTGGACTGCAGTTGAACTTTTGTTGTAGACAAAAAAGGAGCGTACGAATGTGTGCCCCGGTAGTGGGCCTAAAATGATTGATAAATCAGATTAAATATAAAGCTGGCTTCATTTACTAGAAATAAGAGTCTTAAAAGTCACGTATATCAGATAAATTAAATGTATTTAGTTAGTTTTTATTAAATTATATTAGTAAAATTAGCTTTTTCTTAGCTATCATCACTTTTAAGATCAGCATTCATAAATAATAACTCTGTGCATGGCAACGACCTATCAACAGTCTCAGCCCCTGTGTCAGTCAGTCACTCAATTAACGAGAAAACCAGCGCAGAGTTAACAGAATACTGCGGAGAATAAATGAATTTTCATGTTTATTTATTTATAACACTGAAGGTCAGCTAATAAATCCCCGAGAGCTATGCCCAAGGAGCTCGCACAAAGCCATCATCAGGGTCCGGAGCCGGTCCGAAATTTATGACCATTAGCCATTAATTTATGCAAAGAAGAAAGAATAACTTGATAGAATAATAAGAAGATGGTGGGATCATG